GCTCCGCTCGGCTCCGCTCGGCTCCGCTCGGCTCCGCTCGGCTCCGCTCGGCTCCGCTCGGCTCCGCTCGGCTCCGCTCGGCTCCGCTCGGCTCCGCTCGGCTCCGCTCGGCTCCGCTCGGCTCCGCTCGGCTCCGCTCGGCTCCGCTCGGCTCCGCTCGGCTCCGCTCGGCTCCGCTCGGCTCCGCTCGGCTCCGCTCGGCTCCGCTCGGCTCCGCTACACTCTCGCCTCCACTCGCTCCACTCAGCTCAGCGCCCAGAGCGCAGAGGGTGTGCATGACCTAGCTGAGCGCCACAAGCCCAGCTCGTCAGACCTGGCGCTTAAGATTTAAAAACGGCAAGCGATTTATAATGAAGAATTCTACGAACCCAAACAAATCTAACACTCACACTATTGCTAAAAATCTCTCTCTCTCTCGAACCCAAGGCTCTCTATATTGACAGTAAATGGCCCCCCCGACCGCGTCGAACTCATCGGCGCGGGCTCTCTCGGCTACGGGACCGGCCCCAGCTTCGGCTGAGGGCTGACAAGCTGCCGAGCCCAAATCACTATATGAAAGAAAAAATGCCGAAAGCATTTGCCGAAAGCACGCGCGTGTGACGAAAGAGATGTCGACGAAAGACTCGAAGCCCCGCCCCTCGGTGCCCGTGCCATCGCACGAGTACATCGCGCGGCGGCGCCTCGAGGCCGCGCCCGCAGCGATGCAGATGCAGCGGGACGACCAAGGCGTGCCGTCCTTTCCCGTCGATCCGGCAGCGACGCAGCAGCAGATTGCGCTCGAGCACCTCGCCTTCCAGGATGCTTCGCAGGGCCCGCTCGTCCCGGAGGACTTTTTCGCACCCGGCCGGCCGCAGCGAATCACCTGCGCAAAGAGCCTCGGGGCGTGCTACGGGTCTTGCTGCTTCACCGAGCACCCGTGGGCGGTGTGCTGCGGCGGCAACAACGTCGTCACCTGCGCCTGGAGCTACCTCTGCCTCCCGTGCTGGAAGCCGGACACCTACACCAAGCCGCAGTTCATCTGCCTCCCTTGCTGCTGTCCCGTCGCGCAGCTCTGCGTCCCGTGCTTCTGCTGGGCCACGCCCGAGGAGAGGTGCGCCGCGCTGCGCTGGTGCTGCAACAAGGGCTCCGTCGCTGCGGGAAGGGGTCCCGGCAGCTTCTACTGGAAGTCGCCTCCCACCGTCTCCGAGTCGGAGGCGTTCGGCGGCGCGGCGGGCCCTTGGGCGTCGCGGATGCCCTGGTGGTGTCACGGCTGCCTTTCCCACCTCCCGTACTGCCGCGGCTGCTGCAGCGGGCGCAGCTTCGACGCCGCTCCGCCCAACGCGTTTGCGCGCGTGATGGAGGCCTGCTTCGGTCTCGCCGATACGTGCCGCTGCTTCCGCTGCTGCCTGATGGTGAGCTGTTCCTTCATGCAAGGACGGGCGAGGTCGGTCGCCGCCTCGACGCACGTGTGTGAGCCAGGCATCTATGCGCCAAACGGGGAGGAATTTGGCGGGTCGTGGATCTTCCCGAGCAGCTTCGAGCGGCTCCCGACGCCGCCGGGCACGCTCGGAAGGGATGGTCAGCCGCTGAGCACAAACGTGGCGGAGGGGGCGCCCGGCTCGCGAGTAATCATGTGGGTGCACGGCGGCGGCAACATCGGGACGATGGTGCGGCTCTACACGAGCGCCGTCGGCTTCGCGCTCGCCGACAACACGGGGCAGGTCGTGCTGATGCCCGCGTGGCCAGCCGCCTCGACCGAGCCCTGGCCCGCCGCCGTCGTGCAGCTGTGCCGCTGCTACCGTTCACTCGTGCGGCTATACGGCGCAACGAACGTCGTCGTGATGGGCGACTCGTCGGGCGGAGGCATGGCGCTGGCGACGCTCATCCTGGGCACGTCCTACCTGGGCGAAGGGAACCTGCCCCCCCCTGCAGGGGTAGGCCTCAGCTCGCCCTGGGCCGCGCTGAGCGACGCCGCTGGAAAGACGGCATCGGCAGTCAAGTTTGATCCGGTGCGCGACGCGCTAGGGAGCTCGACTCTGCGGCCAGACACTCGCTACTCACGCCTCTTCTTGGCGGCCGCGCAGGTCGCGGGAGGGTACAGCCCGCAGAACTTCGTCCCCACAGAGGAGGAGCCTGTTGCGCCGCTCGGCTGGGGCGATTACCTGCCGTCCGGCCTGCCTGCCGCCTTTAACCTTCCTGGCTACGCGTACGCCACGTCAGCCCGCCGCGACGCCGATTCGCTGGTCTCGCCGAATGTGGCTACCGAGGCGGAGTTGGGCGCAGCTTTCACGTCGGGCGGCGTAGCACCCTCTCTGAGCCTTCTCGGAAGCCTCGCGTAGGAGGAGCTGCGCGCCGCTGCTCGGCCCGACAGCGTGTGGGTTGCGCACGGGGGGCAAGAGGTGTTCAGCGACACGATGAGCGAGCTCGCGTGTGCCTTGGACAAGGAGAGCACACGCACCACACACACGCGCTGCCACGTCGCTGACACGGCCACGCCCCTCCACCTCTAGGCGGGTACCTTGCACGAGTCGCACGTGATGAAGACGATGCCGCACGACGCGATGCTCGTCGCGCCCTCCTTCGATTTCGGCTGCGGGCGAGGGCGCGGCGACCCGCACACTTGGGAGCCGACGGTCGCTTGGATGAGGATGCTACGCTGGCTGCACCATTTGGGGCCAGAGTGGCTGGAAGGGGGCACGCCGCCGTTCGGGACGGCTTGGGAGCACGTACGCTGATTGGAATCCACCGTGTCTCCCCCACAGCGCACACAGGTACTACGCTCTACGGTATACAGGCGGAGAGAGAGGTGCGTCTGGTGCCCTGGTGGTCGTCTCATATCGGCTGTCGTCACCGACGGTCGCCGGGTACGTAATGGAGTTCACAGCAAGAAAATACAGCCCGAGTAATGTGTGCCTGCGGCCCCTGCTGCATCTTTTTTGCTGCTGCTGGTCGCTGATCGCTCTAACGCTATGATGCACTCTCAAGTCCACAGAGTCAGAGAAAAACGAGAAAGTGTGTATAAGTGATCTGGAGCTGGGGCGATGGAAGGCGAGGCCAGTTGGGCCACGGCGACGAGCGGAACCGGCTGCTGCCCAAGAAGGTCGAGATGTGGGCGAGCCGCGGCCGCCCACGCCTACTTCCTCTGACGGAGAGGACAGCAGCGGCGGAGAGGACAGCGATTCGGGCGGCAACTCGGCGATTGCGAACAAATCAATGAAAGGTCAAACTCTCCAAAATCACGAGATGGGAGATTTAGAAAGGGACATACGTGTGTGTGTCCCCGCCCCGCTGCACGATCTTGGTACCACGGACGGGGACGGGAGGCTGCGGGCAAGAGAGCCCGGCGCCTTCGTATTCGTATTCAGCACAGAAAGAAAGAAAGAACGAGGTGAGCAACGCCGGGTGGGTGGAGAAAGAAAGACATCCCGCATAAATAGGTGAAGGGCACATACCGCACCAGCACCACACGCTGAGGAAAGAAAGTGTCCGAGCAGGCCACCGGCCAAAAGCGCATGTCTTGAAGGTTCGAGACTGGAAGCCCATATAGGCACCTTACACTCCCCCGCAGTATCGCACCTCTTGAGCGACACTACGTTTCCGCAGCTGGGGATTCTCCGGGTACCCCTCTTTGTACCCGTGCTGGGGCCGGATTCCTCCTCCGAACAACTCAAGTTCGATCGGCCCCAGTCTCGAACTGGCAGCCACTCATCTCACCGGAGGTACCATGTCTAACCATGTCCGAGGAGGCCACCGGCCAAAAGCGCATGTCTTGAAGGTCCGATACTGGAAGCCCATACAGGCACCTTACAGAAAGAAAGAAAACAAACAAGGCAAACGAGGGATGGGAGGAGGACAACGTCCCCACCTGCACGAGCAGGATCTTGGAAGGACGATTAGGGACACAGGGGAACGGGAGTGGGGAGCGCATCGCCACACGCTGAGGCAGGTGGGGGACGCTGGGCCTTTCCTAGTATTCTTGCGTGTCAAAAAGGGCGCGGCAAGTACTCGCCGTCGGGAGCGACGGCAGCGGCGGTGGCGGAGGAGGAGGACGAGGAGGAGGAGGCGGAGGTGAAGGAGGTAGGGGAGGGGGAGGATGCGGATGCCCCCAAGGGAAAGCTCAAGCAGCTGCCTGGCGATTACCGCTTTGCGCGGGAGCAGGATTGCGATCTGCGCTTGTTCGACTTCGAGAGCTTCGGAGGTTTCGGAAAGGAGGTTCGCAGCACCCTGAGGGAAAAAAGAAAGAAAGAAAACAGACAACCCAAGGGAGGGATGGGAGGACGGTACGCCGCCACCACACAGGGATTTTAGGGGAGAAGTGTGGTGTTAGCCGTCGCCCACCCTCGGGCGTCTACCACTTCCTATCTCTCTCCGCAGTTTATCACCAATTCTTGCAGCGACCTTCATGCCACCTCGCATTCTTCTCACTCTCGTCGTTCTCTCTCCTGCCGCTGTCTCTTCCCCTGACTCATCGCTCTCCTCGGCCTCGTTCTGAGACGCCGCTGTCGTCTGCCGATCTCTTGCTCTCGCTGCTTCTCTCGCCTTTCTGCGTAACTCCGCTCTCCTCTCCGCGTATTTTGGTCCCTCGAGTTTATCGAGCATTCCTCGCGCAAGGACCACATTTCTGACTCCCACTGCGAGCATATCCCGCCCTGTCATGTCGTTGCTCAGATCCACTCTCGTTTCGAGCACTTGTACCTCAACGGTCGGTGTTGGCACTGGGGTTCCCTTCGGGTATATTGTGACAGCTGACGGCGGGATTTCCACTTTTGTTTCGTCCTCCTCGGGGTCGTCTGAGGGAGGCGGCGAACCAGGCGCGGCGGGCTTTCTTCAATTCTTGTCGTGCCAGTGTGCTGTGAGAGAGGCCTGTGTAGAATTCTTCTCTGCACGCCCTTGTCGCCGTCGCTAGATCACTCTCCTCCACGACGACGCTCTCGCGCCAGAGCACGCCCTTGTCGCCGTCAGCTAAGAACACTCTCCCCGCGATTGTCCGTCCGCTCTGTTGCTCCAAACGTTCCTGACGATGCTCCGCGGACACGCTCGACTCCTGCTGTGCTGCTGGGTATTTTGTGCACATTCGCCGGCGAGCTGTCAATCGCCACAGCGCTTGAATGCCGCGCCCTCTTGTGTGCTGAGAGAGGAAGCTGGCAGACGATTCTTCATCCTGTTTGCTACGACGCGCCCACGAGGCCTCGCCGCCTGCCGCCTGCTCTCGCGGCACCCTGAACTCAACTGCAGCGGCGACGTCTACTCGCCCCACTCGAGCAGTGGTGCGACGGCGAGGCAGCGCGCCGAGCTCACCTTGGAGCAGCAGCGCGCGGAGCCCGTCCGCTTCCTACGCTCGCACTACGCGACCTGCAATCGCCGCGTCTGTGGCGTTCTCCTGCTGCAAGACTCTTTGCCGTTGAGCTCGCTCCATCAGCTGTTTCCACCTCACTGCTCGGTCACCAAGCTCCTGTTGCGGCACAACGCGACGGGAGGCGGCAAGGCCCTGCCGCGGCGAGGTGCCGCCGACAGCGGCGACGCCGCCGCCGCCAATGACGCGCGCGCCGCGGCGTGGCTTAACCGAGCATCGAAGTCTCCGCCGCACCACTCGAAGTCGGTCTCGATCCCGCCTGAGACGCCCCTCTCGGGCAAGTCGACGAGCGCCGCGGAGTCTTCGCTGGTCGAGATCTTCGACGCGCTCGACGTGCGCAAGGAGGACTCGGTCTGCCTCTATGAGCACTGCACGGCGGAGCTTGCCGCCTCGCGCCGGTGGCGAGAGGCGCTCGAGTTGACCAAGGGACACGTTTGGGCGGGCGAGCGACTGTCGCGCGCCCTCGCCCAGATGAAGGCGCGCCGCTCGGCTGCGGGGGTGCCTTTTCGGCAACTGCCGGCGGCGGAGGAAGCGCCGTCGTCCGGCAGCCGCTTCCAGGTCGAGCGCCAAAACGGGCGGCGCAGCATCATCGGCAGCGCCGCGGCAGGGAGTTTCGTCTTCATCACGGTCGGAGGCGTCTGCCTGGCGCTCGGCATTGCGATCGGGCAGCGTTTCCGGGTATGAGATGCGCGGCGCATGCCCTCCTACCTTCTCATGTATACACACACAGTACAAGTGCGCACCCTCGCGAACTCGGGCTGTGCCTGCGTGTCTCATGCGGATGCGCGCACACTGTCCTCCTGTGTTCGTGCTGTAGTTGGGGTGTCGGGGGTGTGTGGTTTTAGGGCGCGTTGGAGACACACATGCCAACCTACACGGTTTTTTACGTGTGTATATGCTTCCTCGGCGGCGCTGACCGCTGTCCGGTCTCGCCACTCGTGAACACTGCACACACACACACACACACACACACACACACACACACACACACACGCGCGCGCGCACACACACGCACGCACGCACGCACGCACGCACGCACGCACCCACCCACCCACACACACACCGGTCAAAAATCGAACCGGAACTCCGCCTGCGGCTCCCGCCCCATGACGGCGGCGCAAGAGGGCCGCGCCGCCTGTGGGGTGATGTCCCCGCCGTCCTGGCGCGGCTGGCCCCCCTCGCCACCTTCGAGCGCCTCGGGGTGGTGGGTGCGCAACACCGCCTCGAACTCGCCGGCGAGGCGGGGGCGCAGCTCATGCGGCACGCCCGAAACAAGGTCGCCCGCCTCGTCGCCCGCGCGAAGGTACTGCAAAATGCGCGCTGCGTGGCAGCGCGGAGCATAGTTCCCTGTGATTGCGATCGACGGCTCCAAGTTGAGGCAGCAATGCCACCATCCCGACGGCACAAAGAGCACCTCGCCCTCCTCCACCGTCGCCTCGAGCGCGGCCGCCCCGCCGCCGCCGCCGCCGCCGCCGCCGCCGCCCCGCGCCTCGGCCAGCGACGAGTAGAAGACGCGGAACCACTCGTACAGCGAGACGGGCGAGGTGAGGCTGGCGCCGTCCGCGCTCGGCGTCACTCCGGCAGGCGGCTGGCCAGGCGGGGTGAGCACCCACTTCTTCCGCCCGCGGACGCACGCGTTCCACGCGGAGGTCGCGTTTGGGTCAACGTGCCACGCCGAGCCGGACCGCGTCCCGCCTGTAGGAAGGTTCCGAGAAGGTTTAGGGAAGGCTCCTGCAGCACCGAGAGCCGGACCGCGTCCCGCCCGCGATGAGCCAGCGGTGGTCCGGCCGGCAGCCTCCCGGCAGCTTCGCAAAAAGGTCGCGATCTGCGCTGAAGTAGGCGGGCACGGCGTAGTCCGCAGCCAGGCCCGGCTCGGCGCCGCCGCCGGCGGCGGACGTCTCTGCGAAGCGCTTGTCAAAGAGGTAGAGCGGCTGCTCGTCTGCGTTGCTCGCGCAGTAGTCGAAGAAGGCGGGCAGGCTCATCGTGTGCCTGGAGCATGCATGCAAGGCGCGGGTCTCGTGCACGCGGGCCTCTTGCGAGCGCTGCTTCGGACACGCGAGCGTGTGACCCGTGCATCTAGGCAGCCGCATCTAGGCAGCCGCATCTAGGCAGCCGCATCTAGGGCTCGCGCGCCCGCCGACGTGGAAGCCGCACCTCTCGCCGAACCGGTCTCGAAGCGCCGCCTCGGTCCACTTGGCAGCGGCGGGCCAGCCGCTCGCCAAGCCGGTCAGAATGACCGGCTGGCCGGGCGCCTCGAAGCGGGCCGCGAACTCCTCCACGCTCAGCCCGCTCGCCGCGACCCGAGGCACATTCTCAAAGCGAGACCAGCGCGGAGGGATGGCGGCCGTACCGCAGTGCCACGGCGCGTACAGCACGTCCGAGTAGTAGTAGTGTGTGGCCCCGAGCGACGCGGCCGGCGCCGCGGGCAAGCCGCGCCGCCGCCGGTAGGTGCATCGCCAGCCGCCTGGGTCGTAGCGCAGCCACTCGCCCGGCGCCATCTCCTCCTCGAGGCAGCACGCCTTCCAGAGGTCCTCGGAGAGCGCGAGGACTCGCATCGCCCGTGAGGTGCAGGCGCAGCACGCGAGCTCGCGCGCACCGCCGCTGGAGAGGATCTGCATCAGCACCTCGTCCGGCAGCAAAGCCAGAGCACCCAGCGCACCCGGCTCCTCGCGGAGGCTGCGCCGGTCGTCCGCAAAGAGCAGGCTCCCCATCGGGCGCACGCGCAGCGGGTGCGGCACAACCTCGACGCCCTCGGGCGCGAGGGCAGCGCCGCGGCGGGGCTTCGGCATTGTGAAGGAGTCGGCAGCTCAAACAAGCGTGATCTCGCGCGCGCGTAGCCACGTGTGACGCTTCCGCTCGAAGCTAAAAGAAATTCCGAGGCCGGGCGTGCATCCTCCCCTGCGCGTGAGCAGCTTCTGCGTGGGCTGGCATACCTCCTTTTCGGGACATGTGACTATAGCCGAGGTCCACCGAAAAGAAGAACTTCTTTTCGGTTACATCGGTCGGGCTCGTTGCTGGTGCTATGATGGCGGCGGGCCGCGCGGGCCCGCCTCCCCAGGAGCAGCTTCTGGCCCTGCGCGCGTTGCTCATCGAGCATGGGCTCGACACGCTCGCACCCAAGCGGGGTCGCACAGGCTCGCGCGTGCGGCTGCCCCTCCAGCACTTTGACAGCGCCGAGCACGCCCCGGAGGACGACATCGCCGCCGCGCTCAGCCTGGGGTCTGGGCAGCCCAATGCTGCGGTGCTCGTGTCCGAGCCCTCGGGTGGTGAGGACTGGAGGCTGGGACGCGTTCACAGCTACGATGCCAAAGCGCAGACATTCGCGGCTCACCTGCTTGGTTCCGACGCCGTGGTCGACAAGGCGACAGCTGTCTCTGCGCCTCGCCTGGGCGTGTACTGGCTTCACGAGCCCGTGCGCGAGTTTGCAGCCCGGCTCGCCTCGGCCCACGCAGCGCGCGATCGTGCGGAGGCTGAGATCTTGTTCCGGTGCTACGTGCAATCCATGCCCACCACCGGCGTCTACACCCTCTCCGACACGCAAGTCGAGCGACTCCTGGAGCGTGCGGTACCCGCTCACCGCATGCCGGCTGCTGGCAAGGCGCTCTTGCGCTCTGGAGCAGCGGAGGCCCTGGTGTCCGAGGTCCGCCTCGCATACACACACTCAATGAATGCCATGCTGCTGCGGCATTCGATAGTGCGGCCGCCGCTCGGCCTAGGCAATGATACCGACTTCATCCCAGCGCCTCCTCCGCCGCCGCCTGAGATCGGCGTCATTGCCGCCGCCAAGCTGCCCGAGTACCCCCACGCCGTTGCCTCTTTTGCCGCAGTCTCTTCCGCCGCAATGCCAGAGGTGTGTCGTGCCGTCTTCGCCGCTCGGCATGAGTGCCTCCAGTTGGCGCGCCTCTCGCTCTTTGAAGTCGAGGTCTCCCGCACGCGGACACTCATCGAGTACGAGAGTGCACAGGCAAGCCACCTGAAAAAGGTGATGGGTTTCATCACTGGCACGTGGCAGCCAGCCATTCACACAGTGGTGACGGAGGCACTCGGGACCGGCCCTGGTGGTGCCGCATTGTCGGAGCCACCTCCGCCACCGCTGCAGTTGCCCTCGATCGAAGGCGTTGGGCGCGGGCGCGTAGACTCGGCGGCGAATGCTGAGAGGCAGGGCGATTGGGCAGGCTCACGTCCCAGTCCCAGTTCTCGGCAAGACAGGCTGTCGACTCAGGTCAACTTGATGATGTCTGACGCGCTCACGTGCTTTGCGCGCGATTCGCTGCACGCGTACGTCGCCTTCCTCGAAGGTCACGCGGGTCGGCCGGGGGTTCCGGTGCTCGACCCCGCCTATCTTCGGAGCACTCCGCTCCTCAGCGTCGAGCTCCTCGTCGAGGAGGGTGAGGTTGGCTACTCGGTGCCTCCGGAGAAGATGGTGCATGCCTGCCTGCGGCAGCTCGACCTCGGGCTCGAGGCCCTCGCGCCACTGACGGAGCTAAACCTCTTTGGCAGCTTGCTCAGCTCTCAGCTGCGACCGCTGTCGAGCGCAGGCGTCGCCTCGGAGGTTCAGACGATCGACCTTCGCCACCGGCTCGAGACGGCCTTGCGCGCGGCGACGGCACCGATGAGCGAGTACCTCAAGTCGCTCCGTCCGCACGAGGAGGTGCTGCGGCGGGAAGACAGCGCATGCGTCGCCGCCTTTGCGAGTGCCGACGACGGGGAGGAGCAAAGCTTCGATTTGCCTGGGATCGAGGCCAAAGTGCGCGAGCTTCGAACGGCGCAGGCGGCGCTCGACGACGCGCTTCGGCTCTTCATCGAGGGCGCGCGTTGGGACGCGGACGTGCAGCTCTTGCAAGAGTCCGAGGCCAAAGTGCTCTTCACGCAGCTGCCCGTCGTGCACATGCTGCCAGAGCAGCATCGCAAGCCGCCGAGCGAGGGCGTCTACGCGTGCCCCATCTACAAGACGCTAGCGAGGTTCGGCACCCTCTCCACCACCGGGCACTCAACCAACTTTGTGATGGTACTTGACATTCCATGTAGTTTGGACCAGCCGCAGCCGCACTGGGTGAAGCGCGGGGTGGCCGGGCTGCTCTCGCTGAACTTTTGATTATCTAGCCGAGTTTTTGCATGTGTTTTTGTGTGCGGCTCCCGGCATGTGTGTGTACTCCCGCGAATTCTTTTCGTGCCGCCAGAGCTCGAAACTCCCCGGGGAGGCTGAGCTTCAAATCCAGATCATATAGCAGACAGTCAGTGAACATGCTGCTTCGACGGTCCAACCTCGCTCGCAGCCTCGCACCACGGCCATGGCGGCAGATCGTGCCGGCCAAGCGCCGCCTCTCCGCGCTGCCCGACACGCCTCCCGCATCGGACGCGCACGCCAACATCAACGATGACCTCGTGATGAACCGGCGTGACCTCGACTTCATCCTGTACGAGGTTGAAAACGTCGAGGCGCTGTGCCAAACCGAGCGCTACCAACACTGCGACCGGCCCACCTTTGACGCTGCGCTGGACACTGCCCACCAGCTGGCGCACTCACACTTCCACCAGTACAATGCAAAGGGCGACCGCCACCCGCCGCAGTACTGCCAGGAGACGGACACGCTGACGCTACTGCCCGAGCACGTCGCGGCGCACCGCGCCTATTCCGACGCCGGCTTCCTCACCACGTCGATGGACGCCGAGGCTCGCCCTTCCAGATTGCAGATAGCCAAACACACGCAGGGCGGTGTGTTCGAGAGCCCTATACCCGTCCTGCCTCCCTTTCCACGCCCAGGTGGGAGGGTCGCAGATGCCCGTCGCAGTGAGCGGCGCCGTCGGGCTGCACTTTTCGTCCGCAAACGCCGGCTTCTCGGCGCACTTCGCGCTCAACGTCGGCGCTGCAAAGATCCTGCAGCACCACGGCACCGACGAGCAGCGCGCGCACGTGCTCCCGAAGCTGCTCAGCGGCGAGTGGTGCGGCTCGACCCCTCCCTCCGCGAGGGCCGTGAGCGGCCTCCTCACTGCCGGACGGCTCTGGGCCAGGTGCGGTACCATGTGCCTCTCCGAGACGCACGCTGGCTCGTCGCTGACCGACATCCGCACGACGGCGCACCCGCAGCCCGACGGCACGTACAAGATCCGCGGAAACAAGATGTGGATCACCGCCGCGGAAAACAACTTTGGAGGCACCATCGCGCACATGGTGCTCGCCAAGCTGCCTGGCGCCCGCACGAGAGAGCGAGAGAGAGCGCGCGAGGAGAGGAGCGAGAGAGAGAGCGAGGCGAGGAGCGAGGAGAGGAGCGAGGAGAGGAGCGAGGAGAGGAGCGAGGAGAGGAGCGAGAGAGAGAGGAGCGAGGAGAGGCACGTGCACGAGAGGTGCTCCTCCCCCCTCCCGCTCCGTGTGACGCGTGGTGTGACGCGCCGGGCAGGGGCGCCCGCCGGCACCAAGGGCATCTCCCTCTTCCTCGTCCCGAAGCATGCGCTCTCGTTCAGCGAGGAGGGCGTCTCGCTCGGCGACCGGCCGGCGTCTAGCTCGGCGTGGGCGGGAGTTTCGCCGCAGATCAGCTGAGCTGCCCCGAGACTAGGCGAGCGCAACGACGTCCGGCTGGGAGGGCTTAACCATAAGATGGGGCAGACGGCGAGCGTCAACGCGGGCGAGCTGCTGTTTGGCGAGGCGGCGGATAGGACACTCGTGGCACCTTGTGGATGAGACTGCTCGAGATCACCCGACTGTCCGAGGTTAGGCGACGGGTGGCGCCACCGGCCACCTTGTCGGCGAGCCTAACCAGGGGCTGCATTGCATGTTCATCATGATGAACGAGCTCCGCTTCCAAGTCGGGCTCGGCGGCGTGGGCCCCGCCCTCGCGGGCTACCTCTACTCGCTGCAGTACGCGCGGCAGCGCACGCAGGGCCGCTCGCCGCTCTGCCGCGACCCGAGCACGCCAATGGTGCCGATCATCGAGCACTCGGATGTCAAGCGGATGCTGCTGCTGCAAAAGGCGTACGTCGAGGGCGCGCTCGGGCTGTGCATGTACACGGCGGGTGTCATCGACGCGCTGGCCACCACGGCCGACGCCGCGGCGAGGTCGGACAAGCTGCTGCTGCTCGAGCTCCTCACGCCGGTGGTCAAGGCGTGGCCGTCCGAGTGGTGCCTCGAGGCGAACAAGTGGGCGATGCAGGTGTTGGGCGGGTACGGCTACACGCAGGACTTCCCGCTCGAGCAGCTCTACCGCGACGCGCGCCCAAACATGATCTACGAGGGCACGTCCGGCGTGCAGGCCCGCGGCTTGCTTGCAGCGACTCCTCCTCGGAGCCTCCCCTCACCCTCTCGGACCCTTCCTGCAGGCCCTCGACCTGCTCGGCCGAAAGGCGTCGATGGGCGGCGGCGCGGCGCTCAAACTGCTCGGCGCCGCCGTCGCCGAGGACGTCGCCGCGGCGCGGGCGGCGGGCGGCGCGCCGCTGGCCGAGGCGGCGGACTCGCTCGAGGCGGCGATGCAGCGGCTGCAAGAGACGACGGCGACGCTGCTCGGCGCGGCGGCGGGCGGGGAGGTGGAGGTCGGGCTGAGCAACTCGCACGCCTACCTTACGATGACGGGCCACACCGCCGTCGCATGGCAGTGGCTGCGGCAGGGCACCGCGGCGCGGCGCGGCCTGCTGCGCCTCGAGGCGGAGGGCGGCGACGCGAGCGCGGACGACGAGGCCTTCTACCGCGGCAAGCTGCACACGATGCAGTGGTTCACCCGGCAGGAGCTCTCGAAGACGGAGGGCATGGCGCAGCTGCTCTGCTCCTTGGACGATACGAACGTGAGCATGCGCGGAAACTGGTTCTGAGGCGTCTCGTGGAAGGACTCGTGAATTGCCCGCGGCCACGCGCGCGGAGATCGGGGAGAGAGGATGCGTGGGGGCCTGGCACGGCACGGAGTCGGCACACACCGGACTAGTCACCGAGAGACACGTCGTGCACCGCGCAGTCGGTCGTCAGTGCAGTCTCGAGTCTGCAGAGCCAGCAGAGGGCATGTACGTGTACGTATCATTATTTAGCAAACGCGATTATTCTGGCGGTAGCTCGATGATTCGCTGCGGCGACTGCCGGTAGAGAAGGCACGTGTGTCCTATCACTTGCGCAACCTCAGCGTCCAGACGGGTGGCGAGCTCTGTCGCCATCGAACGCGCCTCGGCCTTTTTCTTCGCTGCACCGAGCTTGCAGCGGACCAGCTCGCGCGTGGAGAGCGCATCCTCGATTTCGCCAAGGCTGCCGGCCGCAGGGTCGAGAACCAGCGCCCGCGGAAGCAGCTTCTCGGAAGTGAGCCGGCCGGCATGCGCACGAAGGTATCGCCGCTGAGCGCCGGTGAGCGGCACCGCAAAGGGAGAGAGCGCCGAGAGGCAAAGTAGGGCGAGGGTTGGCATCGAATTTTAACTCGCAGAGCCCAGCAGGTCTCGAGGACCTTTGGCGCGGCCGGGCGGCTGCTACCGTGTTGTTTTCTTTTCTCCAGATCTGGTGCTTTGATCTGTGATCTGTGAGGGTCCGCCCGCAGGCGCATTTTGTATACCGAGGCGGTGCCCGGTGCCGACCCTGTCGGACCTTAAGACAGCATTGTAGATCCCTGTGTGAGTGAGTGAGTATTCTTGATACGAAACCACGACGACACACACCAGTCGACTCGCATCGGTTGCCTCCATGAACGGCGGAGCTATTCTCGCGCCCACACCACACCTGGCTCCAACGTGGACACGCCCATAGCTGGGGACACTACTAGGTCACGCATGGCATCACAGAAGTTTTGTCTCTGGGCCCCGAAAGGCATCTCTAGCAGCGTCGTTACGCATGCGCCCTCCCCTCCTGGGCGCATGCGCCTCACGTCTCGCCAGAGCATACGCCCTTGGTGTGTGGCGAGACGAGTTTTTCGCCATGCAGCGAGCAGCAAGCCGCCCGCCGCAAACAGCCGGAGGCCTCGCCGCGGCACTGACTGCGCCGCGCTCCCGCACCCGTCGACGAAGCTCCCCCCGCGGAAGACCGCGCGTAGCGACGCCTTGACGATCGAGATGGGCGCGCCTGAAGCTCGCCCACCTACTGCCCCTGAGAGTTGGTTACGAGTGGGATCAGCTCCCCCCCTTTGGGATCAAAGCTTCCACGACCTCGCACCCAACATCTCAGGCGGGATCAGAAGGGGACTCCACACCGGACACCGCCCGGGCACAGCCCCCCTACCCGTCGGATCGCACAGGGCCCCCTAGGAGCAGCCCACACACAATCTCGCATCGGCAGATTGCGCCTGAGTCAGGCAGACAGCACCGGGTCACTGCGCAGCCGATTCTGGTGACGAGCTGCGTGGAGGCCGCTTTCGCATCGCGTGCTTTCGGCATGCTTGCTTGCGACGGCGTGCTGTGGCTGTGGCAAGGTCGCGTCTGGATTCCGTTTCGCTGGTGAAACTTCTTTTGGTGTTGTAGGTATATTGTTGGCAAATCAAGACACAGAGCTCACACAGAATCACAGCGGGAGGAAAGCGGCGAGTCGCAATTCCAGGGGTCGTTGTGGCGGGCCACCCTGTCCAGAGAGGCATGGATGCCAATCTGGGGTCTCTCGACCGAGTCTATGAGCCCTGGCCGCCTCCCGATCTTGGTGGTAAGGCCGCAGCCGAACAATGTTGTGATAGTGCTAGCACGCGCCAGTTCGCACCTGCTGCACAACACCGGGTAGAAGAAAGAAAACAGACACGCCAAACGAGGGATGGGACGAGAACAAGGTCCCCACCTGCACGAGCAGGATTTTCAGTGTATGTAGCTCTTACGTACATTCCCGGAGGAGGACTGCTGACGGGGATTTTCACAACACCGGGTGTCCCGTACCCGGCCGTTGGTAAAATTCTTTCTGCACGCCCGGACACACGACGTCTTCATAGGTCCCACACTGGCGCCCAGCATCATAGCCCTGGCCGCTCCATCCGATCAATACTGAGACAAGCCGTCTGAAGCCTCGCCAGTGCGGGCAGCGGTCTCACTCACACCCCGTCTGCTCCGCCCCGCAGAGACCATGGCCAAGTGGACCGTCGCGGAGGCCAAGTCTGATGCCGTCAGCAAGAGAATGCTGCTGGAACATCTGCAGTCGAACGCGGAGAACGCCTGGCTGGACCAGCGGAAGCTGGTTGGCCAGCCGACCGCCGTGCTGAAGCGCGTCACGAAGGATGCGCTCGTGCAGGCGTACGAGGAGCTCTCCTCGGGCAGCGGCGGCGAGGCGGCCGCGCCCAGCGGCAGCTTCAAATTCGCCGCGTCGCCCCCCTCGGGCGGCGCGTCCGGCGGCACCTTCAAGTTCGAAGCGCCGCCGAGCGGCGGCAGCGCCGGCTCTCCCGCCTTCGCTTTCAGCGCGCCGCAGGAAGCGTCGGCGCGCGCCGACCCGTTCGCCTTCAACTTTTCGTCGGCGGCGGGCACGCCGATTGCTGGCGACGCCGTTGCTCTCGAGGCGAGCGACGCCTTGCAGAAGGATAAGGCTCAGCGCGACTTGAGCGCGGCGCAGCGGCGCGACGCGACGTTGGCGGGCCTTCCTGCGGCGGTGCGCGGGCGGGTCGAGGCGCTGGAGAAGCTTCAGGAGGAGAGCGACGCGGTGCAGCGCGACTTCGACGCGAAGCTCGCGGCTCTGCGGATGGAGTGCGAGCAAAAGAAGGCGCCGCTCTTCAAGTCGCGCGCCGAGGCCGTCGGCGGCGACGGCGTGCCCGACTTCTGGCTGACCTGCTTGCGGAACCACATGATGCTCTCTGAGGAGATCCAAAAGGCGCACGCGTGGCAGACACGCCCCCCCCCCCCCCCCCCGCCCTCCCGACCCACGCCGCGTCCACCTCGTGGCGGTGCCGTCCGCAGGAGGAGGCGGAGCAGCTGCACGAGCAGCTCGAAAACGACTACGACATGGGGTGCGCCATCAAGGACAAGATCATCCCGCGCGCGGTAGCGTGGTTCACCGGCGCCGCCATCGACCCGGACGAGGACTACGACGACGACGAGGAGGAGGGCGAGGAGGACGACTTCGAGTCGGACGAGGAGGAGGACGAGTCGGACGAGGAGGACGAGGAGTCGGAGGACGACGATGACCACGTCGACACCTCAAAGATCAAGCGGGGGCAGGGCAGGGGCGCGCCGGCGGAGGGGCAGCAGGAGTGCAAGCAGCAGTGACACGCTCGGCGGCGACACCGCCCTCTGTGTTACTTGCGCGGTCGGGCTCTCTAGTCGGATCGTAGCTCGGGCGCGGCGCCTGCCTGTGGCCGCTCGCAGCCCCGCCTGCCCACCGCTTCGCCCGCCTCCTCAGCGCGCGCGGCGGCCCGGGCAATGTTGGGTGCGCGTGTTGTCACCGTGTTGGCGGTGTTGTGGAGATTGCGGGGTCGGCACTGCGGCTGCTGCGCGCGGCTGCGCCCTTTAGGCCCCCCCACCTTCTCTCGTAGGCGTACCGTGGTAACTGGTATCATTTTAGTCGCCAGGGGCACACAAACTTACAGACACGATCTCGCTCCTGGCCGCCTCTGCTGCTACCGTCCACTCTCGTCTCTCCGCCATCGCGGCATCGGTCATACTCATACAGACATAGTCTCATCACGTCGCGCAACTCGTTATATAGTTCCGTTTATCCGCGTTAATTTACAGTGCGTCCCTGCCCCGGCGTGGAATACTGCATCGCATGGCCCGTGCGCGCAGCACGCTGAGCGTTCCGATTTTCCCGCCTATCTGCAGCATGCTGCGCGCGAGACAGTGCGGCGAGCGGAGAGGTCCCAAATAGCATGCAAGCCGTTGCGCGTGAGCCCTTCAGCTCCCTGCCGCCACCTCCTCCACGGTCGTCTCCGCCTGCGGCGGCGCGTCGTCGTCCTCCGCCTCCACCTCCGCCGCCTCGCCCTCCTCCTCCGCGGCCGCCGCACGCGCCGCCTCCCGCTCCGCCTTCTTGGCGGCGCGCTCAGCCTTTGCCTCCGCCTCCGCCTCGGGGTCAATCTGCTCGAGAGGGGGAGAGAGGTGGGGGGCTGGGGTGCGGTGATGCGGACCGCTCGGCCAGGCGGGCGGGAGAGAGGAGGGGTAGGGCGGGGAGGGAGGAGGAGGCGCGCCTCAAACAGGCGCACGACGCGCAGCTTGATCGGCTTGGTCTTGTCCTTGGGGAGGAGGCTGCCGAAGGTGTCGAGGTGGGTGTCCTTGCCGTTGACCTCCGTGATCAAGTCGCCAATCTCGAGCCCCGCCGCCTCGCCCGCCCCGTTCTTGTGCACCGCGGTCACCTGGTTGCCCGCGACCGCGATCCCCAGGCTGCCGTCGATGCGCTCGAGCGTCAGCGTGACATTGCGCTTCTTCATCTTCTTCATCTCCGCCGCCGGCAGCTCGTCGTCCTCGTCCGCGCCGTCCTCGTCGCCCTCCTCATCCTCCTCCGGCGACGCGACGCGGCGCGTGAGACACACATGGACATGGTGTGAGGTGAGAGATATGCACGCAGGGCGGTGCTCGCCTCCCCGTCATCGCCCGGGACCGCATCGTCCTCGTCCTCGTCGTCGTCGTCATCGTCGTCGTCATCGTCGTCGTCATCCTCCTCGGCGTCCTTCTTCTTCTTGGAAGTCTTGGCCTTCTTTGCCTTCCGGCCGGTGGACTCGTCCACATACTCGTCTCCGTCCGACTCCTCGTCGTCGTCGTCCTCATCCTCGTGGTCGGGGTCGCCGCCGTCGTCCTCGCCCTCCCCCTCCTCCTCCTCCTCGACCTCCTCCTCCTCCTCCTCGACCTCCTCGTCGTCCTTGCGATCGCGCTTCTTCGTCTCCGCGGTGCGGGGCATTGCTGGCAGCGTTGTGTTGTGTTGAAGTCGAAGAAGAGAAACAAAAATATATCCACGTGCGCAGGTGTGCGCGGAAGTGCAGAAGGGCCCTCGGGAGGCCAATGCCTCCGAGGTCCGGCGGGCGACGAGGGGCCACCGCCGTCGGCACCGCCGTCGCCGCCCGAGCCCGCCGCCGCTCCCACGTGGACAACTGTGGAAGCGGCACGAGCAGAGGAGCGGGCAGCGTACCGGGACCTGTGTGCTGCGCGCGAGAACGGGAAGGCGAGGGTGGCCACGGTACGCAGGACACAGGCAGCTGCAGACGTGGCGCGGCAGACGTGGGAGGACGCATGCGAGCGTCGAATCAGCTGAAGCTGATATGGGAGCGGGCCCTCTTTACTCCGGCCGGGGACGCCGTCGGGTACTACGAGCTACATCGCAAGCAGTCGGAGGCCGCATTTCACCGCTCACTGGAAGTCAATCGCCTGGGCGGCCGGTACGAGCAGTGTGTGCAGAGCCTCTCTGACGCGTGCGTATACATGCAACGGGCTGCACAACGCCACGCCGAGGCGCTCGATGCCCTGGACAGACTTGAGGCTGGCGGCGCGCGGGTGTGGTGGTGGTGGAACCTCACGTTCGTGCCGGCAGCAGATAGGGCAAAACAACGGGAGAAGGCGATCCGAGAGGCCGAGATGGATCAAGTGGCCGCGGCGGCAGGCGAGAGGGCGGTCCTGGCGGAACTCAGGGCGATCGGGCTGTCGCTCGCAGCCAGCGCTCCCACTCACCCACCCACTCACCCTACACCCACTTTTTCAAGAACGGATGTCAAGTCTCAAGGGGCACGTGTGGTGTGAGAAAAAACGCAACGTACGTAGGGCCGCGGTGAGCTAAAAGAAGCGCACGCCGGCGGCCAGACGCTCAGGATCGGGCTGCGGGCTAGAGAGCCCTGACCCTGGCGGTGCGCGTTCGCAGGGAGGGAGGCGGGGAGAAGTAAAGATGGCCGCTCGCGCATTTTTGTCGCAAGAAAACCATACCATACCCCGGAAAAAGTTGGAACCCAGTCGCTGCCGGCTGGAGAGAGAGAGAGAGGGAGAGATCTCTTCTCTTCCGATGGTGGCGGCGTGGCTAACGTGTCTTGCAGCTTCTGGCTCAGCTCTTCTCGCATCCCCGCTACTACGCGGTGCTGTCGTGCAGACACGCCACTCTCGCAGCGTGAAAATGCAGTCCGACCCGTTCGCGACACGGGACGCCGGCACAGGCTTTGACGACGAGGGCGGAATGGTCAGGGGCATTGCAGAGGGCGGCTTGACGCTCGAGCAGGTGACGGCGGCAGCGGGCCAGGCGGGACCGTCGCTTCCGGTGGAGAAGGCGGCCAAGCTCGTGCTCAAGGACCCCGAGTGGAACCTCGACAAGATGGAAATGTCAGCTACCGACAAGGACTTCGAGATTGCGTGCAACTCAATGGACGACGCTGAGATCGTTATAGATGTCCCCCCGATGATGAACACGTTCGAGGACTACTTCTTCGGCCTCACCGCCGACTCGCACTCATCCTTCTCAATCTCGACCGACGAGTCGTCGCCGCTCGAGGGCCGCATGCAACGCCGAGGCGGCGAGCCGACGGTCGTCAAGATCAAGTGCGAGCCAAACGGCGCCTCTGGCACGTTTGATGCTCACCTGTGCTTCATCCTCGAGAACGAGCCCGGCTTCTCAAAGTTCTACAAGATATCCTGCACCTCCAGCTGAGTCCTGAGAGAGGCTTTTTTGCTTTACGAGGGCGCCCGGCCCTCGGCGCTCCTCTCGCGCGGCACGCGCGTGCACCGACTGACTCTCACTCACCTGTCGCCAGTCACGGCGCGCTCTCATGGCCGCGCAGCTTTCTGCAGCTTTTTTTCGTATCTTACCTAGCCAGCCATACGCATACAGCACACATCGCACATGACGCGCGCTGGGCGCGGGGATGATGGGCCGATGAGTGTGCGCGCGCCATACGGCATCTAGGGGGCGGCGTCGGGCGACTCACACTACTCTCGAACAGGTAGGGTACAATGCATGACGCTGTACACACCTTCAGCGGCCGGCCTCCTTACCAGCGGCCGGCCGCACGTAGGCCGCACTCAGGCGGTGGCAGCTGCGCGCACGATCGCCGTGAAGTCGTCCAGGCCGAGCGCGCCCTGGCCGTTGCTGTCAAAAAGAGAGATCATGTGTTGCAGGTCCTCTTGCGAGAAGTCGAGGTTCAGGTCGGCAGTGACGCTCGCGAGCTTGTCAAGCTGCAGCAGGCCGCCCTCGCCCACCAGGAGCCTGAACAGCTGGCCCGCGTCGGCCGCTGGGTCGACGGAGGAGGCGCCTCCGGGAGCGGTGGCGCGCGAGGCGTCGTCTCCCTCGTCGTCGGACAAGGAGGCACTGCTTCCATCGTTGTAGTCGTCGTCGCCGCCGCGGCGGACGCCGCCGCTGGAGGACGCAGCGGTTGCCGCTCTCAGCGCCGCCGCCCCGCCACTGGAGGAGCCCGCCGCCGCGGCCGGCCTGCGCTTTGGCCGCGGCGCCGTACTGGGCGGCGCGAGACCGAGCCGCACGAGTTCCGCCTGGTTGCTGGCGATGTTGCGTAGCCGCTCCTCCTCGTAGGCTGACAGCGGTTGCGCCGGCGCCGCGGGCTCCTCCTCCTCTTCGCCGCTGGCCGACATCCCGTCTTCATCGCTCTCCTCCTCGTCGCTGCCGCGGGCGGCCGGGTCGAAGTATGGCTGCTGCATCCGCTCCTGTGCCGCCTGCGCCGCGCGGCGAGGCTGGCGGGACATGGTGCGGATTTCCCTTGATGGCTGTGACCCCGGAAAGAGAATTCGCGGCCCGGCAGTGACGGGCGCGCTCAAAGCAGCCCTCGCAAAGCTCTGTGTTTTGAGGATGCCGATCCATGGAAGCAGCTTCTGGAAGCTCATTGTGTGCGGCGCGAGACGCGCGCGGCTTCAGCTGCGCTCTGTTTTCGGTCAACTCCTTCCGCGCTTTCCCGGACGATTCGGAGGTATTTGAGGCGCCCCTCCCCATAAATAAAAACGGACCTCTACTGCAGGTCCCCGCCCGTGCGATCTTTGTGCAGGGTTCTTTGTAGGTGTGGTCGGCGACTAGCCGGGGGGTCGTCCTCCCGATGCTAGCATGCTAGGCTAGAGTGTTCCGCGCGGATTTTGTCGTTTTATCAGGGGGGGGGGGGGGCTTAATGCATCTCAACGACTCTGACGCTGATCGTACGTCGTCCCTTGGGGCTATTGCGTTGCGAAATCGAGTCGGAGGTCGAGCAAGTCGACGCGACCACTCGCGAGCAGGACGCGCCGACGCCCTCCGGCGCCAGCCGTCTCGACACGCCGCGCGGAGTCGTGACGTGCGTGCCGAGGGAGGAGTAGCGCGCGATGGAGGAGGTCCACCGTCGCTGGCCTCTCCAACCGTCCCCACTGCTGCCACTCGCACCGGCTTGGCCCCCTCCCCCGCTGTCGCCGATGCGGGCGCTGCTCGGCTCGTGAGCGCTCGAGTCTAGCAGGCTGCGCACCGCTGCATCGAACGGCTCTGTGTCGCCGTACGCCGCTTCGATCGCGCCCAGCAGCCGCTCGCGGTCTCGGGCGTGGTAGCAGAGAGCGCGCCGCGCGCAAAAGTTGCGCGCCACCTCGCTCGCCCCTCGGTGGGTGTGGCCAGGCGGCGGTGTGGCGAATCTCGACGCGCCCCGCGTCTTAGTCGGCGCCGTGGATGGTCTGCGTCGTGCAGGGGGCGGAGGAGAAGAGGACAAAGGAGGCGGAGGCGCTCCGGGCGCGAGGGACGCCGCCGGCACCTTGCGCCCTGGCGTCGGCGCCCCAAGTGGCAGCACCTCGATGTCGTTCTGCGAGCCGCCGAGGACGACAAAGCAAAATATCTCCATGATGCACCACAACCGCGTTGAGTACGTGGGCCCGTCCAGCACGAGCAAACGTGTGCACCCCGAGACATAGATTGGCAAGCCCAGCAGGGACGCGTCAATGTCGTCCTGATCGATGCACGCCTTATCCAGCCACAAGACGGGCTCTCTCCCCGCGTGCTGCTCGAACTCAGCCGCCCAGCGAGACAGCGCCATGAACTTGGCGTCGCCATCGTCGCTCCACGAGTGGCTGATGAACGCGTCGATACCGCCGAGCTCGACAGGCGCTGCTGCCGCGCTCAGCTCGGCGGAGCCGAGCGACGAGCTGAGGTGGTGAGCTTCGAGTGCAGACCACGGGAGGCCGCGAAACCGGCCAGCGGCCGCAAGCACGTTCGCCTCGACGCTTCCTCGGCCAGTCCGACGCAGCGCCGAGCACCATCGTCGTGCGCTCCAGCCGTTCAACGCGGGCGTCACCAGCGCAGCGATGGCGGCGAGCCCACGGGAGCTGGCGGGTTGGCCAAACCCTCCGACCGCGCGGAAGAGGCGCCCGCGGACAGAGGGGGTGAGGACACGTGCGAGCAGGTCGGCACCGACGACGCGGGTGAGGGCGCGGGCGTGGATGACAGCCATCGTGACGTAGGGGGACAGGTCGGGCGGGACGGCGCCGCGGTCGACCCACAAAATGGCAAAATCGAAACCGAGGTAGCCCAGCGTGATGCGCGACGACCACCGCAAGCAGGTGGCGAAGGTCGTCCACGCGACGTTGATCGCGCGGCGAGGCGGGAGGCTGAGTGCCGCCGCAAAGTGGTACGCCGCCCAGAGCGGAGGCCCGTAAGCGAGCGAGGCCCATGCGTACGCGAAGACCGCCCGCAGCTTCTGTGACGGCATTCCATGGTGGCGGCCCAGCTGGAAGAGGGGAATGAGGGCGAAGTGCTGCGATATTAGGAGGCCAAACACGGCGACGCCTACAGCGGAGTCCGCGTGCTGATCGGGTCGCATGCCCGCTCGTGGTGGCGATGGATGCGGCCAAGCGCCAAGCACGGCACACACGAGGAGGCAGCTGATTCGCACCTATCTTGAACAGCCTCGGGTGATCTTGCGGGCCATCTCGGCTCCAGGCCCGCAGGTGGGTCCGCACAAAGGCGGTGTCGATAGGCCGGAGGGCAAGCAACAGAAAGAAGGGCCCCCCGGCTCCGAGGAGGCATGCCAGCAGCCGGGGAGGCATCCACGCCACCCCCGCCGGGCCGACAAAGTTTGCAATCAGGGGCCGCTCCGTGGCCCACTGGCGGCAGGTGGACTGTGCTACGGTAAAGCGGACCTCGCAGTGCGTTAGCAAGCCACCGAGCCCACGACCGTAGTCATATTTGCCCAGCGGTCGGAGTTGGTGATAGACAACGAACTCGGTCGAAACGCCATCTCCGGGTGCGTACGCCTGGATATATGCATGTGCATTCTCACTCCCGCCGCTGGCTAGGTACAGCCAGTGTAGACCATAGTCGCCGTAGTAAGATATCCCATGTCCAACTGACGAAGACCAGTGCTTCCGTTGGAACGGTAACGGTGGCGGCGGTGGTGTCCGAAAGTCGGTCAATAGGGCGTAGGATGGCGGCGGTAGTGACGGCAGGGACGGCGGTGGGGTCGGTGGGTGTGGTAGGGGCGGTGAGGGCGGTGGCAGTGGTGGTGAGATTGGCGTCCGATAGTCGACCAGTGGGGCACGCTTTCGCCTCGGTTTGAAGATGAAGCAATCCTCGGGAAGGTACCCGACCAAGTCATTCGAGTCGCGAAGTGAGCAGAAGTTCATCGAATCGGCTGTACACACGATTGACAAGCATCTCGGGTCGGCAATGCATGCTGGCTTTACGGCTAATTGCGGCATTTCGTCGCCTAGGACCTTGCCGGGGCACGATTCGCCGCGATGTACCTCCCAGTCGCGGTCTGGCGGCGGGAACGGTGTTGGCGGCGGCGGTGGCGGCGGCGGCTGCGGCGACGGAGGTTGCCGTGGTGTATGAGGCGGCTCCGACGGCGGCGGCGGCTCCGACGGCGGAGCCGGAGGGTGTGGACTCCATAAACTGTTAAACAGAGGCGTAGTCAAACCAGCCTTTCGAAGCGATTCTCCGAGCGCATGAGAGAAGCTCTGAATTCGCTTCTTTTGCTTAGGACTGTACCGGTCTTCAGGGTGGTTTATGTAGTCGACGAGCGTCCGTTTATAATCCCAATGTGTGGCATTGTACGTGGTGTGGTCGGTAGGCCGGCTCTCGAGGCTGGAGGAGCTCAGGCACAGGCATGCCCATGAAAGACTGAGGCTGATGGCGGTGGTGCGCAGCCGGACGGCGCGATCTACCGCCAGCGCTTCTCTCAGGCGGGACTGCAGCTCGTCGAGCTGAGTGCCTAAGCGCTCGTCTGCGTGGATCCGCCGCTGCCTCCACACGCAGGCCTGGGACAGGCAGATGGCAATGAGCGACGCGCCCAGCGGGGCCGCAGCGAGTGCCAGCGTGAACCGACCCATGAGGGAATCATTGCCTGAGGCGAGAGGGTTCGTGAACCACGACCATCTCATGCCGACCCCGCGGCTTGTCGGTCTTGCGGTGGGACTAACTCGCTCTCGCTCGCCGTCGTCGAACTTAGCAGGACTTTTCCCTCTCCCGACACAGCCGCCGGCGCCGCGCGCTTGCCTTCCCGTTCGAGGGTAAGTGGATCTGGATTCGGCTAAAGATGGCTGAGGGGAGGCTGTACCACAGTGGATATCAACCTATGTACAGCTGTAGTGAACGCTGAACCTCATCAGAACCTCACTCAGCATCGATCGATCGCACGTTGTCCTTTTTTGCGTTGGGCTTCCAGCTTTCAGCGCTCGTGCAGCGAGGCTGCAGCGCTACGAGTAGACCCGCTAGACCTGCTGCCACCTACAGTCGTACCATGGTTGGTGCCTGCCCTAGCCTGCCGTCTCGCTGCCTCCTTCATCGAGAGGGCGTGGCTGAAGTTGCTCCAGGTCGATCCCGCGCGCGCCTACTGCAGGTCGATGTTGGGCTGCATGTGTTCGTCGCCCATCGCCTCCATTCGGTTCTCGGGGGCCACGATCTTGACGAGCAGGAAGCTGGTGCACCGCGGCTGCTGCAGTCGGTACTCAAAGGCGCCTTGCTCGCGCCATCCGGGCGTCGCCGCCTTCCTGGCGGCCGCCGCGGCGAGCGTGGAAGTGAAGCGGAACCAGATAATCGGAAACGCCCCCCCCTCGGTGTCGTTGATATTCCGCTCAAACTCACAGATGACAGCCTCGTCGGTCGTGATCACGTCGCGGATCACGGGCAGACTCGAGCCAGCGGCGGCCGCCTCCTGCGCTGACTCGGGGAAGACGTCCAACGAGAGGCAGTCATTGAGAGCAAGCATCCGCTCCGAGTACAGCGCCGAAGGGCGGAGTCGCGCGCGGCAGCCGAGGACGAAGCCAACTTGCGCCGGGCAGGAGCAGTGCAGAGCGCGGCGCAAGCAGTGCCTGGTGACGACCGCGAGGGTGCTCCAGGGCCGGCGAAGGCTGCACAGGAGCGGGTCGTCGAGCGTCGTGCTGCTTGCGAGCGCGACCTCGGTGGGCGCCACCGCCATGCCTAGGGACTCGGGGCTGTCACGTGATGCGCCGCCGTCCAAGGGGTTGTCGGCTTGGGCCGCTTGCCACGTCGCACGGTCGACCACGAGCACGGAGCCCTGCTGGCGCGTAGCGATGAGGTCCTCGCGAAGGCCGTCATTCCAGTCTGGCGTGCTCTCGGCGTACTGCCGAAGCTGTCGCGAGGCGGCGGCGCGCTCCGCGCCGTCGAGGTCGAGGAGCAGCAGCTCGACGCCGTTGGGGTGGCCGAGGAGCTGCATGAAGCAATTGTCGACAGTGGCGGCATCCATCGAGGCGACCCCACCGAAGTCCTCACTCTGGGGCAGCAGCCCGGGGATGCTCGACATGCGCGCTAGCAGGAACGCACGCCGCGCCGCCGTCGCTGCACGAGCAACGGCGAGCTCCGCCGACACGCCGCAGGCGACGCGACCGATGAGTAGGACGTTGGCCGCCGCGCCCTGGTCGGGCGCGACGTCGGATGAGTAGCATCGTTCGTCCGGCTCAAAGGCGTTCCCCGCCCAGGACGGGTTCCCCTCTGGCAGGCGAAACATCTCAACCTCCTTCTCCTTGACGGCAGGGACGGAAGAGACGGCACCACCACCTGGCTCCGAACCCGAGTCGAGGCCGCCGTCCGTCAGGAAGCCGACGACTTGGAGATCGACGATCTCCGACTGGGAGAGGGCCTTATACCGCACCGGGCGGGTGGCGTCGAGCCTGTCGATGATGACGGCGTGGTGGGCGGGACGTCAAAGTCCTGCTGCAGCCTCGTCTACCACAGTGCGGAACTGGACGTGATGATGATCTCCATCGCATGGCAGCAGGCGGCTAGAGAGCCCAGCGCCGAGGCGGGTCAGGCGCAGAGGATAACGCGCAGGGCATCCTCGGGCAGCTCGATCAGCTCGGGCGGCACCGCCATTACAGGGCAAAAAACGAGAAATCCTCTGCGGCGTCTCTTATCACCCTACTGTGAAGACAAAGCAAGAGCTATGGCAGGGTTAGACGAGTGTGCTGCGTAGGAGGATTACATTGCGAGCCCGTGCTCCGTGGTCCGTTGTCCCGCGTTGTGTTCTTGTGTGACGACAACTTGTGCGGCAAGTCGACTCCGCGACTTAAGCCGTGCTCGTGCTCCCCCAAAGAAATTCTTTTGCCCGATCCCAGCCAGGTTCCCGGTCGCGCTCCCGTCTATCCCCGGGCGCTGGGCGCTCCACCGCGCCAGCGTTTCGCCGCGATGATGGACACGAACAACTCGTCGGTGACGGCCTCGCTAGTTGTCGCGCCGACGGTACTGCTATCCCTCTTCCTGCTGCAGTGGACGCGGTGGAGACGACGCCGGCTCGACCCCGACCGGCTGAGCGAGCGTCTCCGCGAGACGTACATGAAGCCGCACTCGGGCCTCGAGCTGCGGATTGGGCTCGACATCGGCGGCTCGCTGGCGAAGCTAACGTTTCTGGAGAAGGATGGAGTGAAGACGCCCTTTCTGGACTTTATCGTGCGCACCAGCACCCGCCCGCGCCCAGCAGCCCACGCGCCCGCTCGGCGCGCCCGACCCTCCGCTGCCGCGGCGCAGAAAAACTCAAACACGTACGGGAACTCTGGGGTGCGCGACGAGGCGCTCGCCGTCTCGATGCCGGAGCTGGGCGGGCGGATGCACTTTGTGCGCTTCGAGACGGGCCACGTTCGCAACGCCGTAGAGCTGATGAAGGCGCGCGGCACAGAGGGCGGCACAGTGCGCCCACAGCAGAGGAGAGGCGGGCCTTGGGAGAGAGCGCGACTGCCGGGGAGAGCGCAGCGAGGCTTCGCTGCGGTGCTCGCAGCCGCTGGCGGTGCCTCACTATCAGACACGCCTGCCTCCCGGAGGCTGTCGTGCGGCGCTCGAGAAGCCTGCGCCGCCTCTCTCGATCTCGCTCGCCGCCTCTCGCTTACCCGCGCTCGCTGTGCGGCGCAGGCAAACAACCTGGAGGCTGGCTTCACCACGATGTACGCGACGGGCGGCGGCGCGCACAAGTTCAAGGGCGTCATCGAGGAGAGCCTCGGCTGCGAGCTGACGGCGTGCTCGGAGCTGGGCACTGTCGTCCTCGGCGAGAGACACCTCCGAGACACCTGAGACCGTCCCATTCCTCTCGGGCACCGTCGTCCTCGCAGTGCGAGAGGGAGAGGGAGAGGGAGAGGGAGAGGGAGAGGGAGAGGGAGAGGGAGAGGGAGAGGGAGAGGGAGAGGGCCCGCGGGGCCTGGCTTGGTCAACACCCGCCTCACCTCGCCTCACCTCGCGCCTCTCCATGCTGGCTGCGCAGGCATCTGCTGCATGACCTCGATGGTGGCGGACGAGTGCTACACCTTTGAGCGGGTGCCCGACCCGGCGGCGGTCCGGGACCCTCTCGTCGAGGCGTGCGCGCGTCGCCCCGCCGCCATCCGCCGCCCCCGTCTCCCCGCCTGCCCGCTCACAGCGCGTCCGCCGTCCGCCGGCCAGGCTGCCGTCACCCGCCGCTCGGTCCCGCTGCGGACGCACGACAAGGAGCCTCGCACCTCTTCGGAGCGGGCCGCCGCCCGCGGCGTGGTGCGGGTGCAGCGCGACCTCTCGGGCATCAACTTCTTCCCCTTCCTCCTCTGCAACGTCGGCACCGGCTGCTCCATCCTAAAGGTGCCGCCACGCGCGAGCCGCCGGCCCCACCCACACTCCCGACCTCCACCTCTCCACGCCCGCCCCGCCCTCGCGCAGGTCACGTCCGAGTCGCAGTTCGAGCGCGTCTCCGGCACTGCGCTCGGCGGCGGCACCTTTCTCGGCCTCTGCCGCCGCCTCACGAAGGCGGCCTCCTTCAAGGAGGCGCCAGTCCGCGGTTGAGGCGGGCCGACGCGCTGCTGCCGTCGCACGCCCCCGACGCTGTCCCGCGCCTGGCCCGCAGGCGATGGACATGGCGGAGGACGGCGACGCGCGGAAGGTCGACATGCTCGTGCGCGACATCTACGGCGAGGGCGAGGACTCCCGCCCCTAGATGCCGAACCTCACATCCATGCACTCGAGCACGCTCGAGAGGCTCGTGGCTCTCGAATGCCCCCGAGGCGCAAGAGTGCGGCGCACGACGCTGCTCAGCCTCACGCGCGCGTGTGCTCCTGCTCCAGGACCGCGCCGGGCTGCAGCTGCCGGGCGACCTCACCGCCTCCTTCTTCGCGCGCGCCCTGTCGGCGGAGCCGAAGGCGAGCGACGCCGACCTCTGCAAGGCTCTCGTCGTGATGATCTCGCAGAACCTGGCGCAGATCGCGCACCTCAACGCGCAGGTGCACGGGCTGCGGCGCGTCTTCTTCACCGGCGCGCGCAGAGGGGGCAGGGAGGGAGGGGCAGAGGGACGGCGGACGAGTCGAGAGGCGCAGGGGTGGGGTCGGTGGAGCGGGCGGAGCGGGCGGTGGAGAGGGACGCGCCGCCTCACCTCCCCTCCTGCCGCTTCGCGACGCGCAGGCAACTTCCTGCGCGGCAACGATCTCGCCATGCGCACCATCGTCTACACGCTGCAGCGCATGCCGCGCGTCGTCGTGCACGGCGAGCTGGGCCGCAGAAAACGCGAGACCCGAGGCCCCTCCCTCCCCCCAGCCAGTTCCTCCCGCCCCCTGATTCGTGCCTGCGGCGTGCCTCCAGGCGACTTGCTGCTGCCCGTCGGCGCCGAGCCGACCGAGGCGGTCTTCTTCCGGCACGAGGGCTACTTTGGCGCCATCGGCGCCTACCTGGAGCAGTGTCGCAACTGCGCTAGCGCCTGCCCGAGGCCAACGTGAGTCGTGACGTCTGTACCAGGCTACCAGCCGCGCGCGGAGATGCGCATGTGAGAGGCGGCTCAAGTCGAAACTGTGTGCGAGCGGTGTTTGTGGGAGGACTCGAGGAGCAGGTCCGAGCAAGAGGCCCAAGAGCAAGAGACGCGTGGTATGCGACGCGAGCGCGCCGCGGCGGCGTCTCGTGTCTCGAGATTTTGTCTGAAGGGAGTGGTGTGTCTCTGGCTCGGTGTGCCGCACACAAAAGCATTTTCCTATTCTGCGAAAAGTTTACGTATATCGCATCCGCCGGCGGGAGACCCCCGGCGCCCGGGACACGCACGGCAGCGCGAGGGTTGCCCCCCCTTGCCCCACCACCTCGTGTGTGTGCGGAGAAGTTTACCTTGCCTTACTTACCTCCGCCGGGGCGTAGCACGCGCGCGCGTCCCACCCGAAAAACACACCGCATAAATAAATAAAAACGGACACCTCCCTACTGTGAAGAGATGGCAGATGGGTACGACGAAAAGGAACAGGTCCCCGCCCGTGCGCGATCTTTGTGCAGGGTTCTTTGTGGGGGTGTGCGGGTGTGGTCGGCGACACTAGCCGGGGTCGTCCTCCCGATGGGGGACTAGCACTAGCCGTCTTCCACATGGTCCCTCGGGTCCCTGCTGCTCCTAATCTCTGTATCCGCGGGGTCGAGACATCCTCCTGCTGATCTCCGCAGGTCAGAGGACAGACAAACGAATAAATTTGAACCACCTGCGATATCAGACGACTACACGCACCGCGCACGCACGCACGCACGCACATACACATGCACACACGGAGGGATAGAATGCTCCATGCACTAGAGACCACTACGCACAGATTGTATCGGAATGCAACGAGCAGCGACACGATGCGCACATGCACGTACACGGCACCACGGTCACTTCAGAACCTCCATCGAGACGTGGGTAAGCCCGGGCCCGCCAACCCGCGAGAGCCGTCACCGCAAGGCGGCCACGCCCATCACGTGGCCCTTCAGTATGCCTTCTCCTTCGAGCCGTGGCCCGACTTGCGCGCAACGCTGTCGCGCCAGGAGTCGCGCCACGCCTCGGCCTCGTTCACCTCCTCCCCCGCGGAACCGAGGTACGGCCGTAGCCGCGCACTCAGTGCCGACTTGTAGTATGGCTGCGCGCAGCAGAAGTAGAGGAGCGACGCGACGTTGAGAAAGGGCATGTAGACGAAGCCCGTGGTGATGTAGCCCGAGAGGATGATGCACAGCGTGTAGTTGACCGGCTCGGTGAAGAGGTCGCCGCGCGCACCGTCGACCGAGGAGAAGGGGAGGACGTAGAAACCGAGCAGCCGCACGGCGGTGCCGACTTGCAGCAGGATCCACAAGTAGTGCACGAACCCGGGGTGAATAAACACGGTGCGGTACGCCTCGGCCATGCGGAGGAGGCCAAAGATGGCGTGAAAGTCGACTGTGCGAGCCGCTTCTTGCCGCGCTTGGTGGGTGGGTTTATCAGGGAAAAGGTTGCGTGCGTGCAAAAGTGGTACGTCTACGTGGCGCTCGGCGGCGTCTTCTCGTGGATCGTCCTCCTCAACGCGCGGCTGCACCCCGCCCTCGCCCTCGCCTTTGTCGTCCCCTTCATGCCCGCCGATGGCCACCACGCCGCGCTGCACGCCTTTGAGCACGCCATCAAGGCGCCCGTCGACCTCGGCATGTTCTTCTTCACGCTCGCCAACGCGGGCATCGACCTCAAGGGCGGCGTCGGCGGCCTGACCTTCTCGGTGCTGCTCGCGCTCGCGCTCGGCAAGGTGATCGGCATCGCGGGCTTTGCCTACCTCGCGCACCGCTTCGGCGTCGCGCGGCTGCCCGGCTCGATGCGCGTGACGGACCTGCTGATGGTTGGCATCATCGCGGCCGTCGGCCTCACGGTGGCGCTCTTCATCTCGGGCGAGGCCTTCACCGACGAGGCGCTCGCGGGCGAGGCCAAGATGGGCTCGCTCCTCTCAATCTGCATGGGCGCCATCGCGCTCGCGCTGGGCCAACTGCCCCACTTCAAGACGTTGGCTGCCTGCCCGCCGCCAAAGAAGGGCGTCGCCTTCTCCGACATTGACATGCTGGTCGAGGACCAGGACCAGGACGACCTGCTCCTCGCGGTCACCTCTTCGCTGCAGCGCTCCATGCTGCTCCGCAAGGCCTTCCTCGCGGGTGACCGCTACTTTAGCGACCACCCGAAGCTGCGCAAGGCGTCGTCACTCGAGCCGGTGCACGAGGCGTCTGACGCGGAGCAGCGCCTCTGAGGCCTCCGAGTCCTCTAGGGACGGCGATCGCGCGCCGGCGGACCTCTCCTGTACCTTGTCTGTTTCACGGTCGCAAGCAACGTCGGGGGACAACGCTCAATGGCATCCCCACCTGACACATTCCGGGTTTGTATATTGACCGCCGCAGGCGGGTCGCCACCCGCCTGCTTGCTGTCATGTCGTCCGTCGGGGGGGGAGCCGGGTCCGCTTATACGGTATATTGTATTTGTCTCAGGTTCTTTCATGTTATAGACTTGCAAGAGAAAGCGAGCTAAGCAGTACAGCTACGGCAACATACCCGCAACAGGCAACACAGTGGTAGGCAAATAACCCCAGTTGCAAGTTTTACGCGTGGATGTGACATGTGCCCTTGCAATGTAGCCTAACGCCACTTCGCACTACTCCCTTGGCGGGCGCGGGCGTGTCGCCGGAGCCGACGCGGTAGATGTCCGCGTGCGGCGCGGGCCAGAGGAGCTGCCGGCAGACCACAGGAACGCTCGCCGCCATACTGCGCCGCCGAGCACGGACGCCAGAAACGATCGAAAGCCGATGTGGATATCCATCGTTCAAGTCTGCGCTGTCCGAAAGCACTTCTCCGATGCTGCTCATCTTCACCAGCTCCCCTAACTGGCCGACTCGCTGCCCTTGGCGGGCGCGGGCGTGTCGCCGGAGGCGACGCGGTAGATGTCCGCGTGCGGCGCGGGCCGGATTTTGGTGTGGCGCGCGACGAGCACCGCGAGCCGCCCCGAGCCGAGCGCGTGCTCGTAGCCCCATGGCGTGAGGTGCTCGGCGTCGAACTTGTCGGTGTGGAACTGGTCGCCGAGGCCGGACGAGATCGCGTCGTTGCGGATCGCGTTGTAGAGCGTCTCGGGGATCGACCAGCCGTGGTTCGTTCCGGTGCCGCGGTACGCCTCGACCGTCACGCCGACGTACAGGGGGCCCTCACTCATGCGCCGTGAGTGAGCGCTGACTGACGGGGGGTGCCCGGGCCCCCTTGCCTGGGAGCGCTGCTCCTGTGATGCACACCAAAATAATTGTCACGCATCGGGTCGGGGCTTCTCTGTCACGTAAGTGAACATTGAGAAGAGAACCCCCGTAGAGTAGAAAGATTGTAGAACGAATCAGGCTTCATTTGAGAAGAGAACCCCCGTAGAGTAGAAAGATTGTAGAACGAATCAGGCTTCCGGTGACGTTCCAATTATACCGTTCAGAAGCATCGATTTCCTCTAGGGGAGCCCCCCCTACGTCCAAGCATCGTCTTTTCTGCTCTGGTCTGACGGAGGTTGTGGTGGGGCGGGGGCGGTACGTATCAGGGGGCGGTATGCACCGGGGGCGGTACGTACCGCCTCATACCCGGTACATAGCGCCCCCCGGTATTACGTACCGCCCGACAATAACTGGTCATGCACCTCGCCACCTGGCTGGTACGCGTACCGCGCCCGGTGCCCGCCCCTTCTGTGGGCAGTTTCCCCTTATGCCTTATGCCCCCCCCCCCCCCCCCCGGTACATACTGGGTAGGGTGATACGTACCTACGATGACCCCGGTACATACCTACCCCCGGTACGTACCGGGGTTAGCAGGTACGTACCGTGCGGGGTACGTACCGCCCCGCCCCCCGCGGACCCGGAACTGTGAACTGACAAACAACGGACAACTGTGGTCCCTCTTAAATACTTCCCGATTAATACTACGGTACTTAACAATATCTTCTCAAAATTATGGCACCACCCATCCCGATCCGAATTGTAACACTTTCTACGAGATACGGACATAGCGTGCTGTACCGCCGTACGTCTCTCTCTCTCTCTCCGCCGTACAGTGAGCGATCAGCCTTGCGTGTGCTTTTTCGCTCCGTCCTCTGCCCGCTGGCTCTGCCGGCGCCGCGTGCGCATCAACGCGCTCGGCCCGCTAAGACACGTGACGGGCGTACAAAGGCAAGACGAAGCCGCGCGGGTGTCCTACTCGGGAGCTACTGGGTGTGCGCCACGAGCAGCGAGCGCGTTGAGAGCTTTGTCGCCGATGGCGCGGAACAACAAACAGGGGCTGCAGCAGCACTGGCACCAGGCGAAGCAGCAACGAGTACCTCGGCTGTACGAGCCCGATGCCTCCACCAAGCTGCGCGCCTCGCGCCGAGCAGCTCGACTGCCGTGGTGGAAGAGTAGATACTCGTCCCTCGCGCCGTATCGCTCGAACGCCATCTTGATGAGCAAGCCGCCAGAGATCACTTCGAAGTGTGTGCCCGTGCCCTCGCCGAGCTCGCCGATGAGCGTCACTTTCTGAGCATTGCCATTGGGGCGCCTGACTGCGTAATATGGCACGCCCGTGGGAGGAAAGCCGTAGGACAACATCAGGGGAAGCCAATCGCCGGGCTTGCTCAGAACGCACACATCAGTCGTCCACAGGAAGTTAAGCCAGGTGAAGAGATCGACAGTCCACCCGGGAATGCCCCCGCCCCCCCTGCTGCCTCCTTGGAAGCGAAAGGGCATTGCAGCGCGGCGGATTTGCAGCATCTCGAGCACATCCGTGGTCGCGTCGGAGGAGGCGTCGTCCATCGGCGGCAGACAGCTGTCGCAGCAAGTCGGGCAGCCGCCGATGATGTGAGAGTGGCAGTGAGTAACGAGGCCTGCACAGTTGTCGTTGCGGTGCCTTGGCCAGCAGTCACGGCCCATGAGCTGTGGCCGAGGGGCGCCCTGTTTGGCCTACAGGTGCGTGGTGGGGGATGTCGAGGGCGCGGGGGGAAGCTAGGCAGGGGGATGGGGATCCTCGTCCTGCGGCGGCGGCTTGTTGGCTTGGCGCTGCTTCGCCACGTAGTCCATGGATGGCTTGGGCTGCTTGGGCTGGGAAGGGAGCCTATAAGGGGGGAGATCCCCGTTGACAACACGCTGGAAGATAGGATGGGAGGCTGCGATGCAACGGGACATTGTGCGACGAGGAAAGCTCAGTTGTTTTGGATCTGTGAGCGGGAAGGCGACGGCGGGCGAGCGTCAGCACCGTGAAATATGGACGAGCATTGCGCGCGCTCGCATCGGGCGTCGCGGGCAAAGGCGTGGAGGCGACCGCCATCCGATTGTGCCAGTTTGCGTCGTGTGCGTCTACTTGCTAGGGCGGCGGGGCGGCGCTTTCGCAGCACGGCGTGCAGCCGGGCGCGGGCTTGCTCCTCCGTGCAGTGCTGGTATTTCTTGGGGCACGGGCGCACATTGCAGCAATAAGGGCACCTTGTGTCTGTATGGGCAGCTCGACCGAGGCCGCCGATTGTGCGGCCGCCGTTCACAGACAGGTTATGATAAGAAACAAGACGCCGTGTGAGAGGCTGTCCTAAGGAAGGTCCTACATCTCTTCACACAGCCCCGGAGTGCCTCGCACGTTCGCACCCTCTCTCTCCTCCCCCCTCGCTATCGCTCCCTCCTCCCCCGCCTCTGCCCCGGTCCGAGATCTGAGAGAGAGATTAGAGAGAGAGATTTTTAGCAATACCAAATAACTCTAACACTCACACGTCATTTGGGATTTTTGAAAACCAACAAGAAATCACGACGCTCACAGTGATTTGGGAAGAGGTGCGGAGCGGCTGCGCGTGGACGCGACGGCGAGGCTGGCCGGGCACGCTGTCGTCGAGATAGATAGGCACGCACGTCGAGATCCTAGGCGAGCAGGGGTGGTGGTCGGCCACCATCACGTGGCGGGAGGAGGCTTTCGGGCGGCCGGCTCGTGTGGATACGGTCGAGTACGACGGCTACCCGGACGCCGAGCCTCTCCTCTCCTTAGAGGAAGAGACGTGGAGGCAGGTGACGCTCGGCGCCGGCAGCGCGGCCCCTAATACCAGCGGCGAGGCGAGCGACGGCGAGAAGAGCGACGGCGAGACTGGGGACGCGCTGCCGTCCAGCGCGACCAACGTCGGCGGCGCGGTCGATACCGGCGGCGAGGGGAGCGGCGTCGAGAGGGGCGGCGGCAGCAGCCGGGATGGCCAGCGGCGCCACGTATGTCGCACGCGGCGGCGGTAGCTGGGTACGGGTGGGTGCGTAGACCCTATTTTGGACAAGAATACGGAAAGAATACGCAAAAAGAATATAGACAGTACTCGGCGAGAAAAGCGTATAAAGGCCAAGTAAAAAGGACATGCGACTTTTATTTTCATTCTAAGTAAAGAAAAACATTTTTTTCCCGCGTTCGCATATCAATCTATCCCCACGAAAAGCGCTACAAGACAGTCCAGTTTCATTCATGCACCTCCTTGCGCCGACTCCAGAGCCCACTCACATCATTAGCTTGAACCCTTCCCGCCCGCTGACCGCATCCTGAATCGCTTTCTTCCCCTCGTCGCCGATGCTAAGATTGAGGCGGAGGTCGAGGGTCGTCAGCACCCCGTTGACGCGAAGAGCGGAGGCCAGCGCAACGGCGCCCTCGTCGCCGATGTTGTTGTCGACGAGGTTGAGGGTGGTCAGCACCCCGTTGACGCGCAGAGCGGAGGCCAGCGCCTCGGCACCCTCGGCGCGGATGCTATTCCCGTAGAGCGAGAGGTTGGTCAGCACCTCGTTGACGCGAAGAGCGGATGCCAGCGCCTTGGCGCCCTCGTCGCGGATCTTGTTCGCGCCGAGCTTCAACTCGGTCAATACCTCGCTGCCCGACACGTACTCGGCGATCTCGGCGGCGCCAGTCGGGCCGATGCTGCAGTCAGCCACGCCTAGCCAGGTCAGCTTGTTGCGCTGCCGCTCGACGCGGACGATGCCGAGGGCCACCTCCTCGGTGAGACCGTTGAAGCCCACGTCCAAGGAGGTCAATACCCCGTTGCCTCGTAGCGCCTCGGCGATCGCAGTGGCGCCCTCGGCGCCGATCTTGTTCCAGCCGAGGTTGAGGTTGGTCAACACCCCGTTGCCGCGCAGCGCCTCGGCGATCGCAGTGGCGCCCTCGCCGCTGATCTTGTTGCCGCCAATGGTGAGGACGGTCAGCACCCCGTTGCCCTGCAGCGCCTCGGCGATCGCGGCCACACCCTCGTCGCGGATGCAGTTGCTCTGGAGGTTTAGGCTGGTCAAGACCGCGTTGCCCCGCAGCGCCCCAGCGATTGCAGCGGCGCCCTCGCCGTCGATCTTCTTGCCGGAGAGGTCGAGTGTTTTCAGCACCTCGTTGCGCCCGAGCTTGCCTCTGATCTTTGCAGCGCCTGGGCCGCCGATGCTGGCTGCCGCAGCCCGCCAGTTCTCGTTTGTCCTTTTCACAGCGTCTGCGACCGGTTTGGTGGCGAGATTCTTGAAGCGTCTGCTGCATCGTTTGAAGGCGACAGCGGAAGCGATGTCAGACTCGGCCAGCGGTTTCGCTATCATCTCAAGCAGCACCTCGTCATCGAGATCCCCGATGCGAGTCGGCATCAGAGGAGGCGTCTGCGGGCGGCCAAGGATGTAACGCGTTTCGATCGTTCCTTGCCACGTGCTGAGCTTGCTTTCGACTTATGAAACAACCCCGATACAAGAAAAAAACCGAAAGTGGCAAGAAGCCGCGAGAACAAGGGACCGGCAGGTGGCGGCGGCGTCGCAGAACGAGGCAGAGGAGAGCGACGCGACAGAGGAAGAAGTGACAAGGGAAAGAACGACGAGCGAGAGTGGGACGACCACGAGGTGGCATGAATGAAGGTTGCAGCGAGAAAGAATCGGCGAGAGACTGCGAAGAGAGATCGGAAGAGGCGGACGCCCAAGGGTGGGCGACGGCGAGGGGATCACACCCTAAAAGAGCTACATACACTGAAAATGGATAAGTAGGGATGCGTCCTGGAGGAAAGCCGAAAGGCCCTTGCAGGACTGTCTCGCATCGCACATCCATCGTGAGTGCCAGCCCCGAGCACTGACCGCCGACACGCGTTCCCAACGCGTGCCTCACCGCGAGTGTCTCCGTCAGGACAATGATCTTCTCAAAGCTGATGCTGATCGCCGTCGGCGCTGGCGTCGCGACGGCTCTTCCCGTGTCGCCTGAAGCGGTTGCAGTGTGCGGCGAGAAGCGCACCGCTCCTGAGGGCACGATACCACTTCCCGAGATCCCGGAGCTCGCCTGGGGGCTGCTTGAGGATTCCAACCCGGGCGCGCACCCAGAGGAGTACCAGAAAATCTGCACGGACAAGGACAAGTATCACCTCGTCAAGAATGCTGGTCGAGGCGGATTTTCCGACTTTGCGGTAGGCCAGTGCAACGACCCTAGCGGCTGCCCAGTCTATCGTGTCTTTGACAAGGCTCCAGACCACGGACGCCGGCTCGAAGCGTCTGCTTGCGGCCACTCTTGGTCGCCCCTCCAGGATCTTCAAGGCGTCAATGGGGCGGCCAAGACCCTCTCCAAGTACTTGAAGGATGTGGGTGTCTGCCCGTACCAGTATGCCGCTCACCCGTCCGATGACCCTCCCGAGCAAGCCTCCGGCGGCAACAAGGGCGGCTACTTGATGAAGTGCACGTTGCGCGCTTCGCACGACTTCGCGTTTGGCCAGACGCAATCGGCCGACTGCTTGAAGGAGGACGGCACGCCGTACACTTTGGAGGCTACGGCAGCGCTGCAGATCAGTCCTGTTGACTTTTCGGTCCTGTCCGACTGCAGCTGGTGTGAGATGATGGACTTCGATCGCGAGGCAGCGGATGCTCCGAATGTTCTCAAGTGCGTCGACGACGCGTGGACACCCATTGATTGCAGCAGCAACTGAGCAAGACTGCCGCCTCCACTCCGCTGGATCCGCCGCCCTGGCCCCTCGTGCTTGGGAGAGGAAGACATCAATAGCGCGGCGTGGCTTTGCGCGTGGATGCAGGTCGCAGGTGTTCATTACAGTTCCGTGTTCGAGTACGTGTCTACTGTCTAGCTTTTGTGTTTTCTTTACCCATTACCGTGTTGGAACGTAAAATTCATCGTCTACCCCATGTATCGGAGTTATGGCACACTTAAGAGCTGTGAACGTGAAAAGAGTGGTACCAGCACTGTGGGTCGTTGCGGCACGCATGGGGGGCCTCCCGGACGTATGATCCCTAGCCCAATACGTCCCACGGAGCACATTTCGATTTTTGACAGAATTAAATGCACTGCCCCCGCACGGTACTAATAGTCGTGCCCTTCACGGCACCACACCGCCGCTTGACCGCCCGGGATTAGCCTAGCAGCGAGTGGGCATCGCCTGCCGGTCGGCTGGGCACGAACCAAGCACTTGGGCGGCCGTCAACCGAGTCCGAGCGGCGCCTGAGGCGGGTGCCACGGCGTCTGCACGAAGGCGTGGCGGGGTGAGGAGCCAGGAGTGGTGAACACCTCCCCGTCGGGCGCGCGGCGCGCCGGATGGTCCGCCGAGGCCGCCGCCGCCCCGGCGGCGGCGATGGGGGCTGCGGGGCCGACCCCCGGCCGGCGTTTGTCGGCTCCACCTACAGAAGAGCAGTCTCTGTGGGTCGACGATACTAACTCGGTAGTAACGCGGAGCGGTGCTGTGCGGCGCCGAGTTGTGCGCGAGGCGACCCCCTGAGAGAGAGAGATTTTTAGCAATACCAAACAACTCTAACACTCACACGTCATTTGGGGCCTGGAGCCCTGTTCACGCGCGCGCGAGACGTGCAGACAGGGTTGCCAGGTGAGAGCGAATGGCGCGGTTCACGCCTCGCACAACAGAGAGAGAGATGCGCTCTGCATGGTGGGACATAAAAGAAAGCGAGTACTTGGGCGAGTAGGCCGTGCGGTTGCCCCCTGAGTGAGGCTACCTGAGCTGGCAATGGATGCCACCAGGACGCACGGCTAGCAGGAGCCAGTCAGGCATGCCCTGCTGTGGAGCAGAGCCGGCTGGCGCAACGGCGATACTAACTCAGCGCCGCCGCGAGAGGCGAATCTGGGCGACTTTGGAGGCGCAGTTCTCGAGCTTGCCGTCGACGATTGATGTCGGGTAAATTGTCACTGCCGTCGGGGAAGGTCTTCTCTCAGCAGGCCGAGCGCCGTGGCCTGGCTCGGCTCGCCGCGAACGCCACGAATTTATCAGTGCCAAAACTCACGAGACCTCGATACTAACAAAGACTGGGACGACTCTGCCTCGGCAGCCTCGGCAGCGCACTCAGCGCACCCTCAAGAGTACGATACAAGCGGCGAGTGGGTCCGACAGCTTGCCCCACCATCTCGAGTGACCGACTTTCCGAAAGGCAGCATGCCTTGGCCGATCACGGCGAACGCCTCCACAGCCCTGCCATCCCTCCTCTCGAGTGTGCCGCAGCTCGAGCCCGCATTGCGCCTGCTCCGGCGCGAGGACCACGGCGCAAGCGGCACATTCATCAGCAACGGGCAGAGCACGACGGCTGAGCACGTCAGCGTCTGCACCATGTCTCGCACAGAGCGCTGCGACCTGTCGGGCATGGCTCCCGACTCACCCTGGCTGGTTCGTCCGGGTGGCAAGACGCGGTGCATCTTCACGACCACCACGCCCTACCAGTTTGAGGTGATTCGCGGCGACCGCGACAAGCTCCTCCTATTCTTCCAAGGCGGCGGCGCCTGCTGGGACGAGCCCTCGACCAGCTTTCCCGCGTGCAGCACCGGCGCCTTCCCGCAGGGGACACGGGGCGGCGTCTTTGACCGCGCCAACCCCGACAACCCTTTCCGCGCGTACACGATTGCGCACGTCCTGTACTGCGACGGCAGCGTCTTTGGCGGCAACGTGACGCGCCAGTACCGCGACCCGTCGGGCTCTCCTGTGCGGCAGGCGGGCTACGAGAATGCGAGGAGCGTGCTCGACTGGGTGTACGGGCAGCAGGCGGCGGCGGGTACGCTCGCCTCGCCGCTCGCGTCGCTCGTCGTGTCGGGCTGCTCCGCCGGCTCGATTGGAGCGCAGATCTGGGCCGACCACGCGCTCAACCGGCTGCCGCACGTCGCTGCGGCGGTCGTCCCCGACTCGTACGCGGGCGTGCCCTCTCCTCGAGCGGGGGGGGGGGCACGGGAGTCGTCGCCTTTTGACGCGCCTCGCCGTGAACAGGCGTCTTCCCATCGAGCGGCGAGGGCACGCTCATCGCGGAGCTCGGCTTTTGCTCGTCGCCGCTGCTCGCGCCGCTGCCGGCGCACCTTCGCGAGGCCTGCCTCGCGCGAACCCTCTCGCTGCACGCGGTGACCGCCGCCGTGACGGCGCGCTACGGCGCGGTCGCCTTTGCGCACGTTCAGTCCAAGACGGACGACGTGCAGCAGGCCTTCAACGTCGCGCTCTCCGCCGCGCGCAGCATCGAGCCGTCGGGCTGCTTCGACGCCGAGACGTGCTTCACGGGGCCGGACCGGCTCTACGCGGCGACCAACGACTACTTCGAGCTCTACAACGCGGCGCCGAACCACGTCCACTTTTTCGTGCAGTCGTCGGAGCACTGCTACCTGCCAAACGACCTGGTCTACACTGCCGACCCGTCCGGGGCCTCGGGCGGCGGAGGAGGGGGCGGGGGCGGAGGGCCGAGGCTCGTGGAGTGGCTTGGCAGGCTGCCGCTGCGGCCGGGCTCGAATGCGAGCATCGAGACGCGCTGCGAGGGCGCCGAGCGCGCGAGGGTGCGGTGGTGGGTGCCGGGGGCGCGCTACTGCGACGCGAGGCTGGCAAGCAAGACGTTTGTGGCGCCCGGGACGGTGGTGGCTGGTGGAGGGCGGAGGGACGGCTCGGGGGCGAGCGGTAGGCGGAGGGACGGCGGAGAGGGGGTGGGAGATGCGGCGACACGGTCTGACCGTTGACCAGGGGCGTGTACGTCTATTACTTTGTACGGCCCGCTTCGGGTTCGGCCCCAGTGAGCAGAGTCTTTTCCGCGTTTCGCCCGAGAGACGGAATCCCCGCTTCTCGTTTCTGGCCGCGAGCGGAATCAAGTATCAACCCAACGAGTAATCCCCGAGCAAATCTCCTGAACGGGGCCTCGAGCGGGGCGCGGGGCCGCCATGATCGGCCATATGGGGGGACATGGCCATAGGCGCCATGCGCCATGTGGCGCGCCATATGCGCACCCTCCTCGAGCATGCTTGTTGCTTGATGGCAAGATGGCATGCACCGCTCGAGCGCGCAGTGAGTGCGAGTGCGCCCATGGTCGGCATGGAGGATGGAGTGCCCGCACCGCCGGCGCGTATAGAGAGGGAAGAGGCTAGACCGTAGGCAGAGCCGTACACACTCCCTACTTGAGCACTTGAGCACTGGATAGGGTCTCGATTCCGCGTGGTACGGGACCCCTCGATCGTCTCACCCTCCCTCACTGGAGTGTTCATTTGGGGGGGGGTCATAACAAACACGGTACAGGATCGAGGTGCACGCTGCCGAAGCAGTATCGTCCCCCCGCTCCCCTCGACCTCTCCCCGACGGCGATGGCGGTGTGACCGACCGAGCTACAAGAGGAACTTGTTCTGCAGGATCCGGGATAGTCAGACGCCGACTACCTCACTGCACACTGGGCCTGAGACCGCCCACGACGTTTCCCATCACCGTCTCGGGTTTGTGTGGGTTCGAACCACTCCGGAATGGGCAGGCCCATCGATTGAATCATTGTTTTCCCACCTCATCTGTTATTTTAAATTCCTGTTGTGCAAGAGGGGAGAGGGTTCGGACGGAGCGCGTGGCGGGAGAGAGAGGCGCGGGGGAGGGAGGGGGGGGCTCAGCCGTGCAAAAAGGATCAATTAATAATATTAATGTATTGCTCGGCCGTTCATGAAGTCCCTACTAATAAAGGGGAAGGCCGTGAGTTGACGGAAATCGAGGGACGCGACCCACTTCGCCACAGACGGTCCCGCGCCTCGCCGCTAAGACGCGCGGTGCGTGCCACTGTCTTTGTCCGGAGTGAAAAGTCCAACGCGCTCGTCGGTGACGGTGTCCCTCAACTGCGCCGCGCTCGGCGAACCTCGACAGCGCCTTCGGTGGCATGCATCTCTTTGCGCCTGAAGCCTGGAGTGTAGCTCCTCTGCTGCTCACACGCTCTGCACAGTTGACACAGCCTACCTACTGTGCGGCTGCCACAGCTGTGACAGCGGTGGGCTCGCCCTCACTGGCCCTCAGTCACTTGTGCTGCGGCTTGCTCGTTGATGTGTGAGCGACACTGCTCGGTGACTGCCGGCACACTGTGAGATCATGGGTGTGAGAGAGAGATTTGTTTGTTTGTGGGTGTGAGGTAAAACCCTGAGGGAGGGTGTAGAGGATGTAGAGTGTAGAGCGCTGTAGAGCTGTAGAGATGTAGAGCGCTCTGGAGCGCTGTAGAGCTGTAGAGCTCTACATCCGGCGCGTGACGATGTGCCTCCGTTGTAGAGCGATGTAGAGGCGCTCTACAACGTGAAATCTCTACAACAAACTCTACATCATAAGCGGCGAACGAGGCACGGTCGCTCTCCGACATGAGGCGCGTTGCAGTTGCCAGTGCTGCCCTGGCCTTCTGTCTGCCCGCCCAATGGGTAGGAGGTGCCTCTGCTGCTATGGCATGCCTCACGGCTGCGACTGGCCGGCGCCTCGGCGCGTCAGCTCGGCTCGGCGTAGCGATAGTGGCCAGCGCAACTCGCCTGGACTCAACGCTCAGCCAGGAGCTCCCGCACGCGCTGGCGCGAGTCATGGCGCATGCAACGCGCAGCAATGCTCGCCTCGCCTCGCGCAAATGCGACCGTCCTCGCAGCCGACAGTCCACCGCCTGCTAAAGAAGCACAGCGACGAATGCGGCACCGGCGACGCATGGCAGGCTGGTCATGACGCAGTTATAGGGTGTTGTGTGCCGTCGGAGTGACTCTCTGTGTGTCAGGGATAGTCAGGGCTGTCCATCAGAGCTCCAGTAAGCTCGGAGACACCCCATTAGCGCGGCTCGACCTCTTTGAGTCACTGCCTTCCCGGCGGTTTGGCTGTAGAGCCTCTACAACACACTCTACAACAAAATCGCGCTCTACATCGCTCTACAACGGAGGCGCATCGTCACGCGCCGGATGTAGAGCTCTACAGCTCTACAGCGCTCCACAGCGCTCTACATCTCTACAGCTCTACAGCGCTCTACACTCTACATCCTCTACACCCTCCCTCAGGTAAAACCACGCTCTACTCTGTTGATGACAAGACTTGTCTACTCGCTGGAGCCGAGCAGGAGGGCCCGGCGCACAACCAGGTGGTCAACTCAGGGTCCCCTCCCCCCGCTTTACTAAAGCCCGCGTATTACCGGACCGGTTGCGCAGCCCGCACGCTAGCGGAGGCAAAGAAAGGCATCGTGCGGTCGATGCGCGGAGCCGTCGCGGCCCGGTGCATGCATGCGGCATATCACGCGACCTGTTGCACGCACCTTGGAACCGCACGAGAGCACGACCGGCACCGCCCACAGCCAGTCCGAGGACAGCAGGCGCAAGCTCCCCGTCCAACGTCCAAGCTCCACAGATCCACCGCCCAACAACACACAAGAGATGACACATCGCGCACCCTCACCCACCGTCGGACAAGCACACGCAGTCTCATACAATAGGCACTCCGCCGCGAGCTTCTCTCGTCACAGGCCCCTCCGGCGTCGCTGTCGGCGGGCGCAACAAACGTCTCGCCAGAGACTGGGCAGGTTAGCTGCACGCCGCGCGAGATGGGTTGGGCCTGGCCCCACCGACCGCAGAGGCGTTTAGGTATGCGGGTTATTCTCCGGCTTTTCGACGCAGTCCTCGCGCCGATCGCGAGGGTCTGACCGCCTCTGAAGAGTACGTGCGGCTTGGAGGAGTAGATCTGCGCGCCGGCTTGATTGTTTGTTAGATAGGGAAGGGGAGAAGGAAGATCCGTGACACAGTTACATGTTGCATGTGCATGCACATGTGCATGTCCATGCACGTCGTTGCATGACATGCATGTGCATGCACATACACATGTGCATGTCGTTTTCTGTGTTGCTTTGCCGCTAGCCAACATAGCTGAACCAAAATGGAAAACGACAATATCGCTGAAAAAAAACGAAAACCGTTGACGACGAGGTTCGAACTCGCGCGGGCATAGCCCAAGGGATTAGCAGTCCCTCGCCTTAACCACTCGGCCACGTCAACTCGAACCGGCAGCCACTCGCTGCGGAGAAGGCATCGCCCCACTCTGCAGTATGAGCTCAGACAATGGCAGAAGCGACCTGCAAGAGCAACTCATATAGCTAAAAAGTTGAAGAGTTGAGATGTAAGTGTTTTGGTGTGGTATTTTAAGTGGTAAGTGGGGGGGGATAAGGGATGGTGTTGTATGAAAGATGGGGGGGGGAGGTTATAGGGGGAGGGGTTATAGGGGGGAGGTTATGGGGGGAGATAATTTTTAGTGATATGTAAAAGGGGTGAGTAATGCATGGTGGGATGGGGAGTGAGAACTGCCAGAGGTGCTCACCCAGGTTTCGGAAGTCCGCCTTGATGCGGTCAGTTCCCCCCAGGTTTGACCGCGCAGCTCGCAAGACTCGTCGAGCACTCGCAGCCTTTCTGCGCCTCTGACTCTGCAAGCCGTATGCGGGAAGAGCAGTTTATCCGCAATATGTCGACGAGTTCGAGAGAGCCACAGGCTTTCGCTCGGGAGGGATTGAGTGCATCGCGACGGACTTCAGGTTACCGTCGGGTCTCTATTTTAAGACGAGGTAAACAGCAATAGATCCGGGTGCAGTGCCGGATCAGTTCCTGGAGCCAGGGGGACCGATTCGCACTTGCCAAGGGACCAATTGCTGGAAGCCTGCGCAGCCTGCGCTCCGGCCGGCAGAGGGCTTGCGACCCGTGGCAGGGTGACAGCCCGCCGGTGGGCGAGCCAAACTCTGGCGGAGGCAGCCCGCTCAGCCCCAGGCGCCCCTCGAACCGGAGGGTGGTCTGCCGCCGCTGCGCGGTCGGCGCGCCGAGGCGCGAGGGCGGGAGACATATCGCAGCTTCGCGCCACAGGTAACCTGGGGACCGATTCTCGACCCCAAGTTTGGCAGCGCGCGGGCAGTGTGAAGGATCGATTGCTGTACAACGAGGGACCGATTCCGTGAGGGCCGGGTATCGATTAGGCCGCTTGAGGGCCGGATCTATTGCTGTTTACCTCATCTTAAAATAGAGACCCGACGGTACACCTGAGAGAGACCCCCCTCTCTCTTTTCTCCCAGTAAGCTAAAAGTACATACACCTGAAAATCTGACGGTTCTCGCTCCCCATCGAGCTCTTCTCTTGCCGCACGGCTCTTCTGTGTGCCGGCACAAAGCTCCGTGCAAGCCTTCCAGCGTGATAGGAACGAGTGTATCGCTTCGACGGATCGACCGTGCTTGTTAGCAAGACCTTACTGCAGTAAATCCACGGAGCGACCTACTCTAGTGGCTCGCCTAACCTTTTACGAGTACCACATGCCCGTCGTGCGTCCCAATTCGAACGCACGGACACCTATGCACCTCCCCGACATCACAACCGCCTCCACCTTGGGCGCACAACCCCCGCCCGAGCAGGTAGACGTACTCATCGTCGGCGGCGGGCCAGCCGGACTCACCGTCGCCGGGCAGCTGCTCCACCTTGCTCAGCGGGGGCGCGTTGCACTTGTTGAAGCCAATGAGGAGCCGTGCGGCGGCTCGCGCCTGCCAAAGGTGTGCACAGAGTACACGCGCGCTGGCCAACGCCGTCGTTAACCGGGACGGGACTGTATATAGGCGCAGCTGATCACCGCCCTGACCATGGAGGTTTGGGGCGGATGGGACGCGCGCCTGCCAGGCACAATTCGAAGCCTGTGTCGGCTGAGCTCCGGGACGACGATGGACGTCGTGTCCTGGGACTCCGCAAAGCGGGCCGCTCAAAGGGTTGGCAGCCTTCAGGCGCTGTCGGAGGGGGTTTCGCACGAGGCGTACGGTTGGGTGCAGCAGCCTCTCTACGAGGCTGCTCTGCGACGCCACCTCGCCGCCGCACCGCGCGAGTGCACGCTGACGGCCCACTATGGTTAACGCCAGTCTGGGCGAGCGCCCGCTCCTCCACTTCCCGACCTCCATCGCGCATGGAATCTAGGCTGGAGCGTCGTAGATGCGGCCAGGATAGGTGGTGAGTGGCTGGTTGAGCTCGAGCGGACGCGGCGGGGCGGCGGCCACTATGCCGAGGTAGGGCTGGACGGCCTCACATCGGACGCAGGAGACCACGCTGCGTGTCCAAACGCGCGCAGAGTCGAGCGCCGGACGGTAAAAGCTCGTGTCCTCGTCGGGTGCGACGGTGGCAGGTCGTCGACTCGCCGCCACCTGCCGGGCGCTGATCTGCGCGGCAAGGGCGCTCTGGGCGCCTCGCTGACGGTCGTCTTTCGCAGGTTTTAACGCGCCACATCCTCCCTCCGCTGCCAGCCTCACTGCGGCCCTTGTTTGGACCACTAGGCCCGGCATGCTCGAGCTCCTCCGCCGCCAGGTCGGGCCCGACGTGCCGAGCGGCGCCGCGTACAGCTTCAGAAAGCCAGGCCAATGGCCCGCTCACGTCTGGCAGATTGACGGGGAGGAGGAGCTATACTACGGCATCGTCTCCTACCCAACTGCGTGCGACGCCCCCGGTTGGCTGTCTGCCGGTGAGGTGTCCGATGCGTCGAGGGCGCTTCGCGTTCTGGAGGCGGCGTGCGATTGCGTCGAGCCGTGGGGCCCCGGCCTCGAGGCTTTGCAGTGCTGGTTCTGGACGCCCTACTCGCTGTGCGCCGAAAAATGGACGCTCGATCGACCTGCAGCGGCGCTCGCCGGCGACGCCGCTCATCTTTTGTCTCCCCTCGGCGGCTTTGGAATGAACCTGGGCGTCGGCGACGCCGCCTCGCTCGGCTGGCGGCTAGCGGCGGTCCTCAACGGCTGGCTCGAGCCAGGCGCCGCACTTTCGGGCTACGAGGCCGAGAGGCGCGAGGCGTGGGCGCGCTGCGACGCGTATGTTGTCGCCGAGCGGGCCCGGCTCATGGGCGGCAAAGCCTATGTGCCGCCTCTCGGCCGCGGGGGCGCCTACGAGACTGCACTCCTAGGGCCTTGTGTCAACGGCCAGGCAGTCGTCGGCCACCGGCTTCCCCACTTCCCCGGCGTGCGCCTCGAGACACGTGGCGTCACACTACTCCTAGTCAATGGAGGCGAGGATCTCGTCGCGGCAATCGCGCCCGCGTTCGTGGCGGCGTGTGGCCGCATCGGGGTCCCCTGCCGCACATGCATCGTCGATGGCGCACAGCCAGCTGTTGCGGTCGCTTTCGGAGGCAACCGTCTCGCCATCTGCCGCCCCGACGCGGTCGTGACATTTCTGGGTGCCGCCGCATGCCTGCCCGAGGCTGTAGTGGAAGAGGCGGGCCTGGCGGCGGAGGCGCTGCTGCTGGGTGAGAAGGTCGCCCCATGACGCTAACGGTAAATGAAGACACCAGTGAGGGAGGGCGAGATACGATCGAGGGGTCCCATGCGGGGAATCGACTCTATCCGCGACGGTATAAAAAAGAAGAATTTAAAAAGCAACTGAGAGAAAACAGCAGACAGGCTCGACACAGGTGCGGACTGGCGCGTGCTAGCACTATCACAATAGACCTACATCACAGGCAAACCACCGGAGCCGCCGCGATCCGTAAAACAACAAGAAAAACACGCGCCGCCGGCCGCCACTCTCGCAACGAACAACGCATCGAAGAGCGCGTAACGAGCGCGACGTCGGCCACCGCCGCCTCGAGGTGCGTGCTCCTCGCTCCAGCGCATGCGAAGGGCGATTCCGACAATCGCCGCTCTGGTGCTCGCCTCCGCCGCAAAGATGCAGGGCGCTCCGCTCCGGCAGCTCCACGACCCCGACACGGGCCTTTCGGCGCTCTTCTACATGCCGCCCGCAGCCGCAGAGCCGCTGCCACTGCTGCTGTACCTGCACGGCGCTGGGGAGTCGGGACGCGAGCTGCGCGATCTGATTTCCGAGGGTGCGACCGGCACGCCGCCGGTCGAGCTCGAGCACGGCACCGCGCTGCCCTTCCTCGCCAAGCACTTCATTGTCGTTGCGCCGCAGACGGACCACGGCTGGCGCCCCGCCGAGGTGAACAAGTTCCTCGACTTTCTGCTATCGAGCAGGGCCGGCCTGCCGATTGACGCGGCGCGCTGCTACGTGACTGGGCACTCCATGGGCGGCGGCGGCGCCCTCCATGCCGCAGCAGCCAAGCCGTCTCGCTGGGCTGCCGTGGTTGCCGTGGCGCCGGCGGGTGCTCCGCGTGCCGCGGATCTGGCGACGACGCCCGTCTGGTGCTTCCACGGCAAGAACGACGTGGTGGTGCCGTCGGGGATCAGCGAGCATCTGGTGCAGCGGCTGCGGACGGGCGGCGCCGACGAGGGCAACGCCAAGCTCACGCTGTACGATGCTGCGCCTGCGCCGAAGGGGTGGCCCGCCTACGACGGGCACGGCTCGCCGATGCCTGCGTACGCGACCCCCGACCTCTGGCGCTGGCTCCTGGAGAAGCGGCTGGGGTCGGGCAGCGCAGCGTGACGCGCGTGAGACTAGTTGGAAAAAGTCTGTGGTGCAAAACCCGCCTAAAACTGCGAAAAACTCCTCATCGCAAACCCTGTCAGCAGTCCTCCTCCGGGAATGTACGTAAGAGCCACATACATTGAAAAATGCTGTCACGGCCAGCTCGGGAGCGAGAACGGAGAAGCGCCGTGTGTGTTTTGTGTTGAGCTGTGTGATACAGCAACTGCGAGGGGATGACACGCGCTACTCTCGGAATCGAATCTTCAGCGTCTCGTCACCTCAACTGGATGGGTTCGTCATCGCAAGAATACTCGGATGCGTCGCCGTTGAGCGTGGCGACTGCCGCACCCGGCGGCCGGCCACCGCCGCCGCCGCCGCCCGCTCGCCCGCGAGTGCGAGCGCGGATCCTCCTCTGCAGCAAGTGCAGCGCGGGGAAGGCCTCGCAGCCGGTCGGCCTGGCGGCGGCGGCGGCTCGTGGCGCAGCGCACGCTGGCCGGGGCGCCGCCGGCGATCGCGGCACTGCTCCCTTGGCGCGGGCGGGCCGCAGCAGCTCTGGGCGGAGACGGTGTGGGGGTGAGGGCGAGATGAGGGTGAGGCGAGGGCGACGATGTGGCAAGGGGAGGTCAGACGGGGGGCGGGGGGGAGGAGGCCCCGGGCGGGTGGACACGGGAGCGAGCGGCGCACAAGGGAGGGCGGCGGAGCTCGCCTGCCTCGGTGGCCCCCAGCCGCTGTGCGAGGAGGCGCAGCAGCACGTTCTCGCGCTGCAGCGCGTCGCCGTCGGCAGAGAGGCACCTCGCCGCGAGCAGCAGCAATCACAATACCGATCACGACTGCCAACCACGACTCACAATCACGGTCGCACCTCGCCGCAAGCGCCAGCTCCGCCGCCGTCTCCGCGCTGCGCCGCACCACGCGCCGCGCGCCCGCCAGCCGCCGCTGCGCCTCCGCCGACGCGGCCTCGGCCCGCCTCTCCGCCTGCCCCTCCGCGCGGCGCGCTCGCCCCGCCTCGCCTCGCGCCTGCTCCGCCTCGCGCCCCGCCCGCTCCGCCAGCCGCTGCGCCTCGGCCGCGCGCGCCTCGGCCGCCTCGAGGTCCGCTACCAGCGCCGCCTGCTGCCGGCGCGCCTCGCGCAGCTGCGCCTCCGCCTCCGCCTGGCTCGCAATGTGCCGCTCGAGCTGCGCCACCCGCGCGCCCGCCTCGGCGAGGTCGCGCAGCATCTCCTACGAAGCGCCAACCCGGAAGTGTCTAGGAGGTGTCCGGGAAGAGCAGTGGCGGTGAGGCTGCGCAGCATCGCGCCTCGCCGCTGCGCGCGAGGGCGCCACACCGCTCCTCCGCCTCCTCGGCGCCCCTCCGCGCCTGCTGCAGCGCCGCCTTGAGCTTGGCCCGCTCCACCGCCACCGAAGCGAGCTCGAGTCGGAGCCGCTGCTCTGCCCGCGCCGGCTCGAAGCCGTCGCCGGCGGCGGGCTCGGAGGCCGGCGCCGCCGGCGATGGCTCCAGCGGCGGCGACTCGCGCAGCAGCGGCGGCGCATGCGGCGAGGCGGCTGCGCCGGCGGCAGCGCCGAGGTCACCGAGCAGGCTCGAGAGCTGCGCAGACAGCTCTCGGTTCCACTCCTGCAGCCGTGCGTTCTCCGCTCCGAGGGCGACGCGTGCCCTCCGCTCGCGCGTCACCTGCGCAGCGGGGCGCCGGTCGGTCGGTGTGCGTGAAAACGGCGGGTTGATAGCCGGGCTGGCGGCGCACACCTCCTCGCGCACAGCGTAAAGCTCGGCGCGCGTTGACTCGTAGAGGCGCTGCACCTCCTGCCTCAGCGAAGCCAGCGAGTCGAGCTTGGCCTCGAGCTGCGCGTGCCGCGCGGCGTCGGAGGACATTGCAAGGCGTGCCGAATGCGGCCCGCGAGCGGGAGTTCCAGTGATGGCGCGCGAAGAAAGAAATAATTTGCCGCGATCCCGCAACATTGTGAGAATACTGACAAATAGCAATGCGCTGTGAATATATTGGGATATACTGGGGTATATTGCACCCCTGGAATATACTCCCATATTGCGCACTATTACGCAATATACGGAGATATTGGAGGAACATCTTCCAGCCGAATACTGGGAGATATATTGGAGTATATCTCGGCGCCGCCAAGCACCTCAACCCTTCCGCAATATATTGCAATATACAGCAGTATATCCCAATATATTCACAGCTTGCTTGCCCCATTATTGGTTTATAATTCGCAATACTGGGATATATTGCTGTATATTGCCGAATACTGCTGAATACTGCTGAATACTGCTGAATACTGCTGAATACTGCTGAATACTGGAGAAAGTCGGGGGACGTAGAGTGGTCCGTGGCGCGTCGCAGCCTGCGGGGCGTGGCTCAAACGACCCCGTGGGGGTAGTCGAAGGATCGTAAGGCGCCGGGTTGGATGGCTGCGGTCTTGGTATGAATACTGTGCTGAATACTGCGCTGAATACTGCAATACTGCTGAATACTGGAGAAAGTCGGGGGATGTACAATGGTCCGTGGCGCGTCGCAGCCTGCGGGACATGCTCACACGCCGCCGTGGGGATAGTCGAAGGATCGTAAACACACAGGCGCCGCGTCGGGTGGCTGCAGGTCGTGAATAAGAGCTATCTGATGTCCAGCGCGGCTCGCACACCAGTCACCACACACAGCATGTGCAAAACCATGACAGTGTCCTCGCGGGTGCGCAGCGTGGGGTGTCCACCTGGACTCTATTGCATGCCGCCAGCAGGCTGCACCGGCGCGCTCTCGCATTCGCACAGATGGCTGACCCACGGAAAAGTGCATCGCAGGATCCGCACGCTCGGCGATGCAAAACGGCGGCAGCGGGCTGGCTGGGGCACCTAGCGGGTAAGCAGAAGGCCCTGGTGTACGGTTGCCAAGAGATCTACGTCGATCATTCCCGACGACACGCCTCTTGCTCTGCCTGATGAGAGTAGGTCTGTAGCGGAGAATGCCGTCCGGTTACTGGGCTGCAGCCCGCCATGTCCATGCAGCCTGGCAGACGCGCGCAGCAATGTCATCCGGCACGGCATCCGTTAGTAGCACGCGCCTCTGCCGTATTTTGAAGGCGACGGCTTGCGTGAAGTCATGCTGCATGCCCGCGTCCATGAGCTCTCCGGCGAGGGCATCCTCAAACTCGGGCACAACGCACACCCTCCCACGGCCGCCCACGCGGCAGAGGACCGTGCACTTAGTAAATCTGGTCTCTCCAGGAAAGAAGACGTTTGTCTGCCCGCGGTGCCACTCTGTCACCACACCTCGACGGCGAACGCTCGAGCGGCGACGCTCATATACACATATCGAGAATTGACGGCGGGCAGAAAAGAAGGGGGAAAAGCAAAATACTCGCCCGGAGACCACCAGTGGAGTTGGGAGTCCACCGTGCACCGCGCTGCGAGCCTGTCGTGTCCCTTGTCAGGAGCAGGAGAGCCACGGAGTTTTTCTTCCCTCCGTATACAATGTACTCTCCGCTCCGTTGCGGGCGCGCCCGCGCAGCCCTTCTATCTGTCGGTCTCAGACAGTTGCCGTGCCTCTGGCTCGAAGTCGGAGCATATACCTCGCAGTGCCACCTACTCAATCCGCCGTGCCACCCGGTGGGTGGCACGATCTTCGCTGTGCACGCGGAGCCAGAAGGTTGAGACGTTGATGTCGAGAGGCAGGCGCTCAGGGTAGACAGGGGACATGCGCGCCCCACCGCGTGGGGCGCGCGTGTCGCACGAGCTTGATGCTGACGGGGCGCCGCCACCCGACGTAGTGGCACGCCGCCCCTGCACGATTGCAGCAATTCCGAGGCCGTTGCTCCGCTTCGTGAACTACGCGGGAGGCCAACCAAGATGCGTTGGCTCGGCTATGCCGACGTTTGTCGTGCTCGCGTGGCACCCACTGGCACTGCTAAGAGCATCGATTCGACTTGACATCCGCCATCGCAACCGCCGCCGCGATCCCATTTTGCACTCAGGACGCAGACGCTCGCGGTCAGTCTGAGCATAGGGCCTTCCTCCATCGAGCCGTCGGACGATGAGCCATCGATCTGGCGCTCGGAGGCGACCTCTGGCCCCATCGTGCCCCTGCGCACCCGTTTGCGGCAGCACTGCTGCACCGGATCTCCAAAATCCAGCCGAGCGAATACTGCTGAATACTGCTGAATACTGCTGAATACTGCTGAATACTGCTGAATACTGCTGAATACTGGGATATACTGGAGTATATTGGGATACATTGCTGTATATCCCAGGCGTACTATGGTGCACAATATATCGCAGTATACTCCAATATACTCCAATATACTCTTGTTTCGCCCCGGGATTAGCTCCGGCATATATTGGAATATATTGGAATATACTGGAGACGTATCAACAGGGCAAATATATCGCAATATAAGCCAATATATCCCAATATTCTCCAATATATCCGGACCGTATACTGCGATATATTGGCTTATATTCCACATTTCAGCTGTGAACCTTATTGTCAGTATTCTCTGTGGGGACTGATGATCCCTATCATTGAAAGTAGCAGACGGGTCGCGCTACACGCTCTCCGAATGGAATTTCTGCCCTGCCCCTGTCACGGCCCCGCCTGCCTCCCGGAGGCCCGCCCGGCCATGCAATCCGCCGCCGGACCGCCCGGCGGGTCCAACCCGAAGCGGGCGACCGGCCGTTCGCACCGCTCGGCCGACGGGGCGAGCCCCGCGGCCCTCGATCGCTCGCCCCGGGACGTGGCCCGACCGGCCCACGCGCACTGCCTGGCCTCTACCGCCGGTTTCGGCGGCGCAATTTGCGCCTTCATCGCTCTCTGGATCGTCCTGGCACCCATCGGACTCCTCCCGACGGTCGGCGGCGCCCACTCCGTGCACTTTGAGTCAGACTCGCTCTTCGGCAGGCACGCTCTTCGGCAAAAAGTCGCCGCCGGCTGTCCACGCCGAGCCAGCCAGTTGCCGGCTCGCACGGCAGCCTCTTCCTCTCGACCAGCCTCAACTTCGACACGGTCATCATTTTGTCGCTGCGTGCTCGTTGCGAGCCGGGCGGCGGTCAAAATTTGCCCAGACGAGCGCCAGGCGATAGTCCCGTCTCTGTTCGCCCTGTGCATGTCAGGCCAGGCTGCAGCGGGGCACGACCATCGTGCTGCCCTGTTGCAGCCTGACGTTTCCCACTGTGCACAGCCGCCAGAGCACCACCACCGCCCGGCATCGTGTCACGGCGAGCTCCTTCTGCACCCGTTCGCGAGGCTCTTGCGCTGGCACACTTCGGCCTTCCGCTGCTCGCGTTCGGCAAGCTCTTCTCCGCACTCCTGCCACGGTGCCGTCGCCACACACCTTCTGGCCGGCCTGAGCCACGCGGACTCGATCTCTCTCCCTCTCTGGTGCACGCCACGGGCCGCGACGGCTGCTGGCAGCCGGCCGGCGTGAGGAGGCAGCGTTGCCGGCACAGTCGAGCTGGAGTATCCGCTTCTTGATGCTTCTGCGGTCAAGCTTGACCTTATGTGACATGATATGCCACAATACTGCATGCTCTCACCAAAGTGTCGAATTTTTGTTTAGTACTGGTGACCCGACACCGGTGGCCCGATAGTACCGGTGTGCCTTTCTTCAATGTTCAAAAACGAACAGGCTTCGAGGTTCGACAATCGCTAAAAGCTGCTTGGGGGGGGGGGGGGGGGGGGCACCGCTGCGACTCCATTGGGGATGCCTGAGGCCACCCCAAGCACTCCCCAAGCCTTACGTGGACGAATTCAACCCTACTTTTTGTTCGTCTACCCCACATTAGCAACTTCGTGCTCATGTCAACGCCACGCCAGCGCTAGCCCATTCAACCCCGCCCCCATTGGGGGCGGGCCCCTTCAAGGGCCTAACTCTAGTCCTAAGAAAAACGCAAAATCGCAAAAATCGCAACTCCGCGCGCTTCCACGTCAACTCGCTCGGCTCGGGCGAGGAGCTGGAGCCGACTGCCATCCACCGACGGCCACCCACCGACGGCCACCACCACCCGTAGCTCGCTCGATAAGTATGCGGACCGCTTTGACGCTGGTCGTCGCCACGCTGGCCGCCGCCGCCGCCTCGGCCGCTGATGCCAAGGCGGTTCGGATGAAGACCGCCCGGCAGCTGAAGGAGATCCTGGCCGACCTCGACATTGACGTGCCTGCGGGCGCGGACAAGGAGGCTCTCCGCGCGCTGGCGACGGAGCACGACGCCATCACCAAGTACGAGGCCAAGCATCCCGAGAAGAAGAAGAAGAAGCCCGCACCGGGCGCCGGCGGCATGCCATCTGGCGACGCGATGGGGGAGATGCTCTTCCCCATGCTCGACAAGGACAAGGATGGGAAGCTGTCAAAGGAGGAGCTCATGGCGATGGCACAGCAGGCGGGCGGCGGCGGGGCCAAGGGCAAGGAGGAGACGGACAACGCGTTTGCTTCCATGGACGTCGACGGCGACGGCTTTGTCTCCAAGACGGAGGCCAACGCCTTCTTCAGGAGCATCGCGGGCATGATGGGCGGCGGCATGGGCGGCGGCATGCCGGGCGGGATGGGCGGCGGCGGGATGGGCGGCGGGATGGGCGGCGCGGGCGGCGCGAAGCCGACGCCAAAGCCGCAGGCGCGGCCGGCCGCCTCGGAGGAGGAGGAGGAGCTGCCCTCGCACGATGAGCTCTGATCACGGATGTCTGCTCCGTGATCGGCGCGCGCGGCCACGGATGACGGTGGTGATCCTTCATCGGCCATCGCGCGTCGGCGTCTCTCGTCTCTGTGGGTCTAGGGCCGTGTATACATGTAGGCATTTGTCTCGATCTCAAGGGGTTGCTAAAACGATCACACACACACACACACACACACACACACACACACACACACACACACACACACACACACACACACACACACACACACACACACACACACACACACACACAGAGTTACTCTCTCTCTCTCTCTCTCCCTACTCCGCAAGCCGCAAGGGGCTCCTGGGGTGATCTGGGTTCTGGCTGATACGGCGTGGAGTCTCGTGGAGATTACTAGGGAGATTACCGTCGAGTAGCGGACACTTGGAGTTGGGGTGCGAATTTTCTTTTTCGCACTTCACTGTGGCACCGGAATTGTGGCGTATAAGAAAGAAAGAAAGAAAACAGACAACCCAAGGGAGGGATGGGAGGACGGCACGCCGCCACCACACAGGGATTTTAAGGAGAGGAGTGTGGTGCTAGCCGTCGCCCACCCTAACCCTTGGTCGTCTGCCTCTTACGGCGCCGGCTTGCTGTCCACCGCCTGGGGCAATGCAGAGCGGACCCCCGGGCGGCTGGTCGTTGACCGCCTTTTTCGGAGCGCGTAAATGCAGCAGCAGAGGAGGAGGGCGGCGAGGGGCAGGCCGAGGCCGAGCCCGAGCCCGAGCCCGAGGCGCAGCCCAAGGTTGTCTGACGACGGCGGCGGCGGCGAGGGGGGGGGCGGCGAGGGGGGCGGCGGCGAGGGGGGGGGCGGCGAGGGCGGCGGCCTGTGCGGAGGAGGCGAGATGGGTGGCGACGGTGATGCGCCCGCCAGGACGCCCGGAAGGCACCCAACTGTGGCTGGTGGTACCGCGGCCGGGCAAAGGCCCTGGCTGATGCACTTCGCATCTGCGCTTGCATCCCATGCGCAGCTCCCCTCCGTCAGCGGGCCGCAGCCATCGGCCTGCGCGACTGCAAAGATGTCGGCGAGAGTTGCGTCGCCCGCGGAACACGTGGCTGGCGACATGCCGTAAAGCGTCAGATCAATCGCCGTGTCGCAGCCGATGGAGCAGCAGTAGCCTGGCACGGTGCTCCTCGAGCAGTGGCCTCCGAGCGCAAGGCCCGGAAGGAGAAGGCAGGCGATGACGCGCATCATGGAACCCTGTTTGGGCTGAAAATGGGCGCGTTCCGGCTGAAAATGGGCGCGTTCCGGCGGGCACCAAGGGAGGTCGGGTTTTCCGAGCTCGGGTTTTCCGCTTTTTCACATGCACATGCATGTGTTGTTTACATGTGTGTTTTGCTTTTTGATTTGAGCTCTGCCATGCATCTTTTGGTTCTTTTCTGTTCTTTGGGGTTGCGATGACAGACAGATGTAGAGGATGTAGATAGAGTGTTTGAGTGTAGAGCGCTGTCGCCTGTAGAGCTGTAGAGCTGTAGTGCTGGAGAGCGCTGTAGAGCTGTAAGCTGTAGAGCTCTACATCTCCGCCGCGTGACGATGTGCCTCCGTTGTAGAGCGATGTAGAGGCGCTCTACAACGTGAAATCTCTGCAGCAAACTCTACATGCACATGCACATCATCAGCTCTATCTCCCTTCGCAGTCTTCCCTCGCCGATTCTCGCTGCAACCTTCATGCCACCTCGCGGTCGTCCCACTCTCGTCGTTCTCCCTCCTGTCGCTTCCTCCTCTGTCGCGTCGCTCTCATCTGCCTCGTCCTGCGACGCCGCCGCCGCCTGCCGATCCCTTGCTCTCGCGGCTTCTCCCGCCTTTCGGCGCAACTCTGCCCTCGTCGCGGCATATTTTGGCCCCTCGAGTTTATCGAGCTCTCCTCGCGCAAGGACGATTCTTCTGACGCCCACTGCGATCATTTGCCGCCAAGTCATACGACGCAATCTCCATAGCGTGGTCGATGATCTCGTTGCAGGCGACCTTCTCTGGGTAGTCTGGGAACTCGAGCCTGCGCCGTGCGTCATACTTGCGCATCGAGGTGCTCCTCCGGCGCCCCGTCTGCTGCAGCCACGGCTGCTCGAACTCGCGCCAGGATTGCGCCTCGGCCTTCTCGAGGCGCGTGAGCTCGTTCTCGCGGCGCAGGCAGGCGAGGTACTTCTGCGTGCACGGGTTGTCTTGCAGCCACTTCATGTAGCGGTTGTTCGACGTGGTCCTCGGCGCGGGAGGGGGCTCCTCTGGGTCGGACTCGACGCAGTCAGCCCAGCGCGCCATGCCCAGTACAAATACAGGGTTAGAAAGACTTTCTGGGCGACGTTGGGAGGATGACTGATCCACTGCATTATTTCGATGGCGGCGCTCGCGGCGCTCGGTCTTCAAGGACTCTCCGCCCTTTGAGAGAATTGCCAGTACGAGCATGGCATATATGTTCCATAACGCTCTGGCGTTTAATAGGGATATTAATCCCTGGGGCAACTACACTGGCACTACCACTAGCCTCGGAACCGTGCCAGGCCTGCTAGAGATGCAATACATGTTTGCTACGGCCGTCACCACCAGTGTGGACGAGGATGGTAATACAGTATACCACGTCGGGCCTGATGGGCCGATGCACTACAACGGAGGCATGTCATACTGGGACGTCTCGACGGTTACGAACATGACAGCACTGTTCAGGCACACCTCGAGCTTCAGGAACATATTGGGCGCAGACACTTCTCCGTCGATTGCTGAGAGGTGGAACCCCGCATCAGTCGTGAGCTTTGGTGATTGGGGAGATTCTCCAGGGGGAGCGTTGGACCCGATTCGGGCACTCATATGTTCCAAGGTGGCGCGTACTTCAACAATCGTGAAACGTACAGCAACCAGACTGCGGCCGAGACTGCGGCCATCGACTCGATCGACGACTCGCCTTTCTGGCAAGCCAATTCGAATTGGGTCGCTCAGCCTCCGCCTCGACTGACGCGTCGCCGCCGGTGGCCTGAACAACGAAGTTGCGCATGGCAAAGACGGGGCCGCCAATGGGATCGAGACCCGCCTGGTTGGCGTACTCCTTGAGCGCCGTGCCGTGGCCGCTGATCGTGCTCGTCTCGCAGTACTGCGACGCGCGGAGCGGCGTGACGGAGGCGGGCCGGAAGGAGCCCTGCGGAGTCAGCCAGTCCGCAAGCTTGCACGTCGGCTTTGCCAGGCCGGCAGGCTCGGACACTCGCAGGTAGAGCTCCTTCTCGCCGATCGCCCTGATCGCGCAGAGCTCCGGGTTCTTGTGCGAGATCAGCAAAAGGAGCGCCTCGCAGTTCTGCGTCTGCGCGGCCTTGCGCTCCGTGTTGATGCGCAGCTCGTACAGGCGGTGGCCAGTGGAGAAGGTAGGCTTGCTCCCAGGTCCGCCGCCAACCGGCTTGCAATCGAGCTGCCCCCAGCACGCGCCATCCCACTGGTGCGAGCGGTTGCCGTGCTGCGAGACCAGCACGTCGATCCACACGGTGTACGCGCCGTACGGGTTGTTGCGCTCCACGTCCGCGCGCGCCATGCCCGCCCAGGCGGCAATGTCGGCAGAAGTGAAGCGCTGCAGCCGGTTCGAGACGTGGCCCACGCCTCGCGCCTTCTTGCCCTCGTTCATGTTCACCGCGACCGCAGTGCGAAGAGCCTCAAACGTACCAACATAGAAGTAGCCCTTGACCGGCTTCGTCCCGCTGAAGCGTGGCTTCAGCAGCGCGGTAAAGCCGACCCTGAGAGCTGCCAGCTGCGACTCGCAGAAGCGCGTGATGGCGGCGTCCGCCGGCGCGATGTGCCCGCGCTCGGTGAACGCGACCATCACCTTCTCGATCTCGGCCCGGACGGTCAGGTTCTCCCACCCGTTATTGCCGCTCGCTGCAGCCGCTTCAGCGACTCTTTTCGCCCAAGCCCCCGGCGTCGTCCAGAAGGGCGGGCCGCGGAGTATGTCCTCCAGATAGGCCGCCCCCTGACGCGCGTTGTCGGCCGACGTGTTCTTGGCCTTCCTCTTGCCGAGAACGAGCGGCGCGGACATGGCGAGCGCGCGCGCCGTCCGCCGAGTCCAGAGTCCTTGCGGGCCAATGAGGTAAAAGAAGAAATCCGGTGCCCGCGGGCACCGGGGGTCACCGGGGTGACAGTATGGTGTGTTTCGGGCCCCGTGGGGGTGAGGGGGTGTGTGTCCGACCCCAGGGAGCGCGTTTTGAGCGCTTTTCGCGCGATCAGGTTTTCGATCAGGTTTGGCCCCACACAGGGATTTTAAGGAGAGGTGTGTGGTGCGCTAGCCGTCGCCCACCCTAGGGAGTCTGCCTCTTCCTATCTCTCTTCGCAGTCTCTCTCCGATTCTCGCTGCAACCTTCATGCCACCTCGCGGTCGTCCCACTCTCGTCGTTCTCTCCCTTGTCATTTCCTCCTCTGTCGCGTCGTTCCCTTCTGCCTCGTCCTGTGACGCCGCCGCCTGCCGGTCCCTTGTTCTCGCGGCTTCTTTCGCCTTTCGGCGCAACTCCGTCCTCCTCGCGGCGTATCCTGGCCCCTCGAGTCTATCGAGCTGCTCCCCTCGCGCAAGGACCACGTTTCTGACTCCCACTCCGATCATTTGCCTACAGGTCATGTTGTTGCTCAGGTCCACTCTCTCTTCGAACACTCGTGCCTCTACGGATGATAAGGGAGGGATGGGGGCGGGCCGGATGAAGGGAATTAATGCTTTTTTTCTTTTTGTAAGATTCTTTTTGCCCGCATCGAGCAGTCATCCGCCCTGCCGCGTGCCCACTCGCGGCATTCGCAGCGATGCTGCGCGGCCCCTCTCGGCCGATGGAGGAGGTCACAGAGGACAAGGCGTTCCGCTGCTACACGGCGCCTGGCGAGACGTTCGCCACCGAGGCGGAGATGAAGGCGCACTACCACACGGAGCTGCATCGCTTCAACCTGAAGCGAAAGGTCGCCGGGCTGGCGCCGCTCACGAGGGCGCAGTTTGAGGCGCGGGCCGCTGCATCCGCCCGGCGCGTGTCGTGTGTGCCGCTCTGCTCACGCGAGCTCCCGCCCCTTGCAGGAGCGAGAGGCGCGCGGAGTGCGCGAAGCGGCGGCCGCCGCGGCGTCGCAGCAGAGAGGCGGCAAGCTGAGCACGGCGGAGCGGCGCGAGGCGCGCGAGGCGCGGCGGGAGGCGAAGCTCGAGGCGCAGGCGCGGAACCCGCGCTCCAAGGCGGCGCAGCACGCCGCGACGAGCGGGCTCGGCGAGGAGGACTACCTTTCGCACAAGCTCAAGCAGGCGCCCGCGTTCGACCTCGGCTGCGACCTGTTCTCGCGGCACAAGTCGGAGTCGCTCGAGGCGAACCTGGCGCACATGGCGCGCGAGCACGGCTTCTACCTGCCCTACCTCGACTACTGCACCGATGTCGCCGGCCTCGTCCACTACCTGCAGCAAAAGGTGTACATTGGCAACGTGGCGCTGGCGTCGGACCGGACCTTCCACTCAGTGCGAGGGAGCGGCGCAGGCGGGAGGGGCGGGTGGGTGAGCGGCGTCGCTACACGCCGTTTGCGAGTGAGTAGGTTGAGGCGGTGCAGGCTCACATGCGGGCCAAGGGCGGCTGCCGCGTCTCGCTCGAGGGCAGCGAGGAGGAGTATGGCGAGTACTACGACATGCAAGGGCTCGCGGCGGGCTCGCCGCTGTGGGAGGTGGAGGAGGTGGAGGGGGAGGAGGGCGAGGGGGGCGAGGAGGGCGAGGGGGAGGAGGAGGGCGAGGAGGAGGAGGGCGAGGCGGAGGAGGAGGGCGAGGGGTTCGACTCGCTGTTCGAGCGGGCGGTCGCGCTGCGAGTGATGACCGAGGCGCGTCCTCGGCCCCTGCGGATGCACACACGCCTCGCCCTCGCCGCCGCCCGCGCGCCGTGCCGTGCGATCGCCACGCCCGCCGAGCTGCCCCCTCCCCCCTTTCCCCTCCCCTCCCTCCCCCTCCCCTCCCTCCCCCTCCCCCTCCCTCCCCCTCCCCTCCCTCCCCCTCCC